AGGCAGTCGCCCTCCAACAACAACGGAGGGCGGAGGAGCGACGCTCACAACAACGAGCGGAGCGCCGGGTGGCTAAAGCACAGCAAGTTGGTACAGTAGGGGGCACAGGTGGTGCATCACCCAGTCATCTCGGTCATCTCGGTCAGTCGACCCGTGGCACCTGGGTCTGCCCCGTGACCTCCTGCCAGCGGGCGTTCGACACTTCACGTGGCCTCAAGGTGCACTTGGCCTGGCACAAGCATCGTGGTGACGTCACCGCCACTTAGTGGCGAATGGCGGTTGTTGTTGTTGTGTGTAGGTATGTTGAACTTGTTCGGCACGGTACGGAGCCCACCGTGCTAATCTGTCGGTCTCTGTAGGCCTCTATGGGTGCCTTTACGGGTGTGTCTGTGAGTCTCCATGGGTCTATGGGTGTCTCTATGGGTCTGGGTGTCCTTCCGTGTTGGACTTCTTTCGCAACGTACGTGGCCAACAGTGCGAATAGAAATTGAGTGAACTGTGTTTCCGTGACGTTCCTGGGGAGTGAGACGATGCGTGCGGGGTGATGGGTGCAGCGACGATTTCTGTGTTCCCACCAACGTCACGGGCCCATTGTGCCTCAACCCCATTCTTCATCCTCCTGTGTGAGTGCAGAGCGGTGGCGCAGTGGTTAGCGCACTGCGCCACGAACCCGCCCACCCGAGTTTCATTCCCGCTCACGATCAATAACTTTGCAACATTGGCGAATGTTTGTAGCGGTCCTGGGCCGCCCCTAGGTCGACTCAGCCTCAAAATTAGTAGCTGCCGTGGTGTGTAGACATCGCCACTGGGGAGACAAAGGCGGTAGGGCGCGGTGCTGGACAACCACCTTGTGTGCCGCGCCGGCGTTCATAGGTGTTCGCTAACAGCACTTGCCCCAACAGCTAACAGCACTTGCCCCAACAGCCTGTTCCGGCTACACGGGGCGATCTTTGTCTTTTAGTTTGGTGAACTTCTTTCGTACCGTACGTAACCAACCGCGTTAATCGGAGGTTAAGGGGGGAGAACAACAAACTAAACGCAACAAAATTTGTTCCAAAGAAAATATTATTTTTATCTAGATTTAAAGGTCCATAGCTGCAGTGGCTTCCTGATATCGGACGGCAGAGCGTTCCAGACGGCCGCAGACGCAGCGTTTGAAAACGTTGCGCAATGCGGTGAGTGTCATTGTTCGATGGCCAGACAAAGGCAGCACTCGCGCCGAGGATCTGCCAAGGGTTTTTTTCCTCCGGGTCCTCCGGCTTTCCCCTCCATATTTAGAAACGTCAAGCGTTTACAGGTTTTGGCAGCTGCCGTACATTTCTGCACGACGATGATGACGAAGACGATGATGCTGATAAGCCACTTCGTTAAGCTATCATTTGTGGCCGGGTCGCTTCTGAAAAAGACCTATATAGCTCAGTGGGCTTTTACCTGGTATATTAAAGGAAACAGTTTTTTTTTTGAGCGAGCGCTTAGCCAATTAATGGCCGTAATTACAAAATAAATTGGGAGTGTACACATCCCCCCCCCCCCGCCAATATTAAAATATACTCCAAATGTCTCCCCCAAATATATTGCTATAAAATAGATTTCTCCACTATGGGAACCTCATTTGCCAGTAAAAATATGATAATTGTTTTTTTTACCCTTCTATCTGGCAACAAAACTGACACCTTTTTACAAGGAGTCATGTTTGCATAGACCGTATTATGACTGCAGGTATTGCGGTCTATGCAAACATGACTCCTTGTAAAAAGGTGTCAGTTTTGTTGCCAGATAGAAGGGTAAAAAACCAATTATCAAAATAGATTTCTGTTCATATGATTGTGGTTATGGTTGTACTTTATTAATCCCTAATCTCTGACATTACATACTATGAAACAAGAAAAGGTAAAAACAGAGCAATGTAATACAATACACTATTAGACTTTATTGTAAAAATAAAAAGTCCATCCCATGTGTTAGTGAATTTTTTTAATATTTTAGGCAAGAAATGGCAGAAAATGAGTTTTCAAATTAAGATTATTTTTTTCTGGGGAGGGGGACCCCCAGACCCCCTGGGAGATTTGGTCCCCCCCATTACAGGGCCGCCCAGCTGCACACACGCGCGCGTCTGGACACCCGCATGCCTTGCCGTGCCGCACCCGGCCGAGGTATCCTCGGCGCTTGCCCTGAGCTGGTTTTTCGAGTTGTGGCCGTCGCCGTTCCGAGCCCCGGTCCGAGGGTCACTCGCGAGCTGCCCAGCCCCGTGGGCGGACAGCGCGTCCATCGGGCAGGTCGGTTCGGGTAAAGCATGTGGGTGTCTTCCCCAGACGTCGAGGCGAGCGTGGAAGAGTAGGCCACATACAGTTATAGTGGCGGGGGGTGGGTGGGGGAAGGGCTGTCTAGAGGTCCCTCGGCAGTGGCGCGAGTGAGGTACTGCAGGTGGAGCAGGCTGCGCCTTTACCCAGGGCACTGACGTCAGAGCGAAGTGAATGGTTCTGTCACGGCAGTGATGACGCAGTGCGCGAGTGCGCGTGCGTCACCACCACCATCATCATCAGCAGTCATGATCGATCAACTGCTGAATGAATGCCTCCCATATCCCCCGGCCCCACCAAACAATCGAGCTTCCTTTCGTCGCTCCGTCTCCCGCCCCGGCTGTACGGCCGTATATCGGGTGCGTTCCGTTCCCTGGCTGCCACTCCGTGAACGTTGCCGGCCATCTGTCCACCACTGCCCGTGCCACGGGGCCACCGACCCGTGCCAGCCGTGACGCGCCCTTGCCCCAGCACCGCTCAGGGCCAATAGCCGTGGCACAATGTGTGTACATTGAACTTCTTTCGCACCGTACGTAGCTAATCGGAGGTAACGCGGGGCAGGGCAACAATGATACAATGTCCGTACAGGCAGTCCCCGGGTTACGGAAGGGTTAGGTTCCCGAGAAGGATCCGTAACCACCCCCCCCCCCCCCCCCAAAAATCAACGATAAGATCCCATAACAGTAAAAAGTTGCGCCCCCCTACCCCTGTACCCAATTAGAAGGTTCGTTTTCTCTCATTCCTATTGATGCAGTCCTGCATCGTATCGCTGTGCATACGCTCTGCACTTCCTATGATTCTTTCATTTAATCGAATATCTAACCCTAACACTACCCATAATCAAACTGATGGGACATATACTGTATCCAATTGCTTATGAATACCACGAAACATTTTTTGTAAAATTAATTGTTAACAGGAAGCAGTCACTTTCGCATGTTCGTTTACCGCGCGTTAGGCGAGGCCTCGGCCGAGACCATAAGGCATAAGCAATCGAAGTTCCATCGTGTTAAATAAAGTACGCACAGTAACTAACTCATGAAAACACGGGGGAGGGGGGAGGATAGTTCTAAGCGTAGAAAACAATAAATTACGTAATGCTACGAAAGGAAAATTAATACGTAAAGCGACAACAAATTCCGTTTCCCTTAATCCTGGTGAAGTTCTTGCTCAGTGAAGGCGGTGGAGCGAGGCGTAAGGGGATATGGGGGTATTCATCACGGCGCTGCACTAATTGCGCTCACGTAACTAACGCGATAATTTTACGCGTATTGATTGTTTGCATGACTTATAGGAGCATTTCCATTGCGTCGGATTTCCGTAAGTCGCGTCTTCTGCAACCTGGGGACCGTCTGTATTTTGGACTTCTTTCGCACCGTACATAGCCGACCGTGCTGATCGGAGGGACGGGGGAAGGACAACGAACAAATGAGTGGAGTCAGCGCCTTTATTACCCCAGTTTACGTCGGGGATGCGTTCGTGAAAGGTGCGACAACGAATATTGAAACGGCATGAATCAAAGCACCCCCCCCCCATGGCTAGGAGATGTTAACCAGCTCGCCTGGTATACAGGAGGGCGTGGATTCGATCCCGACCCTGACGCCTGCTGTGTATTTGGAGGATCTGCGTGTTCACTCTCCCCATGGTAGCGTGGATTTTTCTCCGGGTCCTCTGGTTTTTCCCTCCACATTTAAAAAATTAACGTACGTTCAGAGTATTTGACTGCGATACATTTCCACGCGATAAGCCACTTTCGTTGAGCTATCATTTGTGGCCAGGTCGCTTCTCAAAAATAACTACATCGCTCAGTTGGGCCTTACCTGGTAAAATGTATTAGTATTAATCTTGACTTAAAGCTTTCGTGACTACAGGAATTCATATTTTTTTGGTTCTTTCGGTAAAGTCACGTAGATAGGTACAAATGAATAATAATGAATTTATATATATATATAAAAGGCAAATGTGTGATTATGTGTGTCTGTTCGAAATGTTTAGCATACTTCCCGACATGCAACAAACTTGAAATTTGGCATGTGGGTAGCTTCCAGACTGTACACAATGGCGCAATAATGGATATATTTTGCACGGCAAAGTGAGCGGTGACGTCACATCTGTGATGTCACCCGCATGCGGCAGCGTCACGCAGTGTGCCTGCTGACGTCACGCATCCCCCCCCACCCTCCGCGTAGGCCGAGTATTAATCCAAGACAAGAATCCTAGTCTCGGTCGAAGCTGGGTAGTTAAGCTAGTGTTAAATAAACCAAAAACTACGACGTTTCGATCACAACGTCCTATAAAACAGACTGCATTCAGTGGCTTTCCCCCTCTGTCCTCCCGATGACGATCGCTTGTGTTGTGATTGAAACGTCGTAGTTTGTTTATTTTATATTTATTATTTTTATTAATTTGTACCTATTTACGTGACTTTACCGAACGACCCAAAAAATAGATTACTTTTGTTTAAATAGCGCAGAAGGGAGAGGGCGAGAGGTATTATCAACCGCGGTGCCGCTGCTCTAACCCCGCCTACCTGAGTTCGATTCCCGGCCACGGTGAACATAACCAGTTGGCTGAGCTGCACTCAACAGCATTGGTGAAGTATGGGTTGATATATACCTACATGATGATGCTGATTATGCTATTGATGCGACTCCTGCTACTACTACTACTGCTGCCGCTGCTGTTGGCGCTGCTGTCCAGTGAGAGGGGCCGGGAGGGCCGCCTGGCGCGTCTGCTGTGGGACACGAGGGACAAGCCGCACGGAGCGGCACGCGGCATCGGCGTGGACGAGGACACGGCGCTCGTCATCACCGCCATGGACACGGAGCCACGTGCCAAGGTGAGCGCAGCACCACCACCGCCATCGCCACCACCACTGCCACCACCGCCACCACCGCCACCACCACCACCGCCACCACCACCGCCACCACCGCCACCACCACCACCATCGCCACCACCACCGCTACCACCACCATCGCCACCACCACCGCTACCACCACCATCGCCACCACCACCGCTACCACCACCATCGCCACCACCACCACTATCACCACCATCGCCACCACCACCGCTACCACCACCACCGCTACCACCACCACCGCTACTACCACCATTGCCACCACCACCGCTACCACCACCACCGCCACCACCACCGCTACCACCACCACTGCCACCACCACCAAAGCCACCACCATCGCCGCCACCACTGCTACCACCACCATCGCCACCACCACCGCTACCACCACCACCGCCACCACCACCGCTACCACCACCACTGCCACCACCACCAAAGCCACCACCATCGCCGCCGCCACCACTGCCGCTACCAGCAGCAGCAGTAGTAGGTAGTAGCAATAGGAAGCAGGAGAAGTAGCAGCAGTGGTAGTGGTAACAATAGTGGTAGCTAGAATTAGTGGAAGCCGCAGCAGTATTCGTAGCACCACCAGCAGTTGTCGTGGTAGCAATAATAGTAGTAGCAATAATGGTAGAAATAGTGGTAGTAGTGGTAGCAGTAGTAGTGGTAGCAATAGTAGTAGCAGCAGTAGTGGTAGCAATAGTAGTAGCAGCAACAGTAGTGTAGTGAGTCCAACTGAGTCTCAGACGTTATTCTTCAGAGGCAACACATGTATTCGCAACACGCATATACCAAGGGGTAACTGCCCTTTACCAGATACAGCCTGGGGTGGTGACCACCCAGCTAACTACACTATATGTAGGAGTTACGGCTACGATGGGTCGGACCCTCACTCGGGTCCCCGGCCACGTGTTGGTGCCTCTTCAGACGTAGAACGTGAAGCTTCCAGCTTGTAGAACGAAGCGACCCCGGTCCCTCTCAGGGACCCACCTTTTATCCTCCCGGGTCGGGGCCGGTTCCGCCCTCGGCCCCGCCCACCTTCGCGAGCGTTTTAGCTCCCTCTCGATCCCCCTCGAGAGCTCTCCACGGACACGTGATCACCCCCTCGCCCCCTCCCCCACATGGGGCCTCTCTCTGGACACTCCGGATCACGTGTCTACCAGGTCAACCAGAGTGCCATGGCCCGGGGAAACCCTGTCCGTGGGCTGACACTCTCCCGCTCCCCCTTGTGGGAGCCCGCACTGCACACCATGCGTGGTGCACACGCTATCCCAGCGCTCACCAAGCCCGGCTAGGGTTGGTACTACACCCACCTACGGGGTGTACGCGATGACGGTGCATCGCACGCCGTGCAACCCACACGGTGCTGTCCGCGACGTGAGTACATCGCACGCCACGGCCCTCCCGGGCCGGCACCATACAGTGACATCCCCAATGTCACTACAGTAGTAGCAGTAGTAGTGGTAGCAATAGTAGTAGTAGCACCAGCAGTAACAGCGCCATCAGTAGTACCAGAAGCAGATTATGTCGATGATGACGATGATGAAGACGCGTGTCCATCCATGTGTCTCGTATCCGTGTGTACACTTCTATGAATGTCTCTGTACGACGACGATAGAGACGGTGAGAATTACGACAACGATGATAGCGACGACGACGATAACGACGATGATAATGATGATAACGACAGTGATAACGATGATGATAGTGACGACGACGATGACGATAATGACGATGATAGCGATGATGATAACGACAGTGATAACGATGATGATAACCTCGACGACGCCGATAAAAACAATAATAACGACAATGATACTGATGATGATAACCCGGATGATGATGTTAACGACGATGACGATTATGACGACGACGATGTCAGTTAAGATGTCCATGCCACGGTCCATCTTGTCCATCCTCGTGGTCACCTTCCCTCCCTGCCCCCCCTCGCACGCCAAAAGGTGGTCGGAAAGTTCGGCGTCCTCTTCATGGACCTGTCCGGCGCGTGGGACGACACCGCCTCGGCCAGCTGGCACCTGCGCAACGTGCGCGTCCACTACCTCACGGAGGACGACTCCCTCGACATGCTCAGCTGGAGGGTCACCTTCGCCCCCTGGAAGTCGGCGACGGGCGGGCGCGAGGACTACGACTACGCGGTGACGTCCGCCGACGTGTTCGGCGCCAGGCAGTTTGCCCGAGTGGCCACGAACCTCTTCAACTCGAGGTACTCCAAGGAGGCCACGGGGAGCACCAAGGAGAAGAAGCCGCAGTACGAGGTGCGCATGAGCAAGGAGCTGGGCGCGGGCGCCAAAGGGAGGTCTCCTGTCGACGGCTACTTCATGGTGTCCTACCGCGACCTCCTGCTCGAGATGTACGAGGCTGTGAACTGAGCCGTGGCGGTGGTGGTGGTGGTCAAGCTACGTGGAGGTGGTTGGGTGATTGATGCGCAATGATGACGACGGTGATGATTATGCTGATGCTGCTGCTGCTGATGATGCTGATGACGATGATGACGATAGAACAAACTTGTACCTCCACATTCAACAGTCACTATCGCTCACTGAGTTTCCGCTCCGCACTCAAAACTCACTTATTGTTTCCTAGCTCACCCCACGCCCCGCCCCTCCGTAATCCCCCCTCATAACCACCACCGCTACTTTTCCCTCTTCATATTCTCATGATATGGCCATCACTCATTTATCCCATTCATTAAATCCATTCATCATCATCTACTCTCATCTATTCCATTCACCTCATCTCTTTCATTAAATCCATATGTACCGTTGTTAATTCTGTGTAAAGCGCCTCGGTTAAGGCGCCATATGAATTATTTTAAGATAAAATGATGATGACGATGATGCTGATGACGATGATGACGATGATGATGCGTCTCCAGCTCGTGCCACACGTTGTCATCGGGCGTGATGTCTGACGTTTCGCTCCTCGTGCTGCCTGGTAAACTTCCTCTCCACCAAATAGTGCTGGCCGGATTGGTTAAGTCCGGCGAGACCTTGAGGAACTGGACCAAAGAGGTTCCCAGTAGCACATGATGTGAAACGTCGGACATTGAACATATGCCAGCGAAGCCGCACATCAGCACAACCGCAAACACTGGCGCGGGTCACGAGCTACGGGGACGGCTGATGATTACCAATAAAAGTGATCCATACCGTGTGTGTGTGTTCCTCGCCTGGATTCGAATGGAGCCCATCTCGCAAGCTAAGCAGGTATTTGAGCCTGGGGAGCGCTCGGATGGGACACCAATCGTGCAAGCAGAAAATAGCGCAAACAGCACTTGCCCCAACAGTCCGTATAAGGCTATGCGGGAGGTCTTTGCCTTTGATACCAATTGAGTGAGTTCAAAGTTATCTGATGATTGCTGCTGCGTTGGCAGTGGTGCACAAGCACAAACAACAACGACTATGTGCGTCTATGGGTCTCTGTGTGAGTCTATGGGTCTCTGTGTGAGTATATGGGTCTCTGTGTGAGTCTATGGGTCTCTATGCGAGTCTATGGTGTATCACCACCACCACAATCATCACCACAACTATTACCACAATCACTATCATCCCATCACAAAATCATGATTACCATCTCCATTATGACCATTGACTCACTCCACTTAGACAACCCTGCTATAATCACCATTATCATTGGCCCACTCCACTTAGACATCCCAACTAATTGCCACGTTTTGTTTACGTGACAAACCTTACTAATTGGCTGTGTCGGGTGGTGGCGGGTTTAACGACACAACATTTTCGCGATCTAACCCCAACACAAATCTGTATTGTTCATATTGTTCGCGAAAGTCTACGTGTGAACCCCTGCTATAATCACGGTTGGACATCCACGATCCCGGATTCGAACCCAGGTGCTACATGGCTCAGCGGTCATTATGCACGCACTCCCCCCCCCCCCCCCCCGCTTGTGCCGGATTATCCTAGTAGCACAAGTAGCTATAAATGCTACGGTCCCCGCACTTTGAAGGGCCCCGCGCTGAATGATTTCATGCTATCAATTCCAGTTCAGTAATCTGCACTTGCTCTATTACTATAGTACTATACCGCCTTCAACTTTTATGAACGACCGGGTGTTTCGGGTTAGCGATTCGTCGTATTATCTGGCTGCGTCGCAAATAAAATAAAATACAATTACGTTACTATGCAAGTTAAACATTTGTGTTTTCATGTTTACGTGTTTTTTTAGGGCCCCTTCATAACATATGCTACAGGCCCAGCACTAGCTTAATCCGCACTGCCCCCCGTCGGCATTCGGCGTTATCCGACTCAGCTTTCGTGACTCGTCCTCGCCCAAACCGCGTGGCTTTCCCTCGCCCTGCGAGCCTCTGCCGGAGTGACGCGAGTGCGATTGACGCGCGCCTTCTTGCCACCGAGGTATAATCGGGGAACGGCGCTTGAGATAACATCGCGGGGAGGAGGAGGTGGAGCGCACGCGTGCTGACGCGCGGGAACACCCGAGGTCGGAATGTTGAGTCGAGCTTTGTGAAATTGAGAGACGGGGAGGGAGGGAGGTACACACACGGATAAATAAAAGATGCTCGGAGAGATTACACGCACTGAGAGATGTGCGGATAACGAGTGATACGCAAGAGACGGACATACACAGAGACGCACACACAGGGTGAGACGCCACGAGACGTAAGACACGCAGACCCACACGGAAACGCACGGAGCGACACGCACGCACGGCGAGAGAGACGCGGTCGACACAGACACGCGCGCATGACGCTCAACTAGACACGGCGATTAGCAAGTACGGTGCGAAAGAAGCTCAGCGTACATACGCACGCATACGCCGACAGACAGACACGCACGAACACGCAACAGGCCACCGTACATTACCGCACGTCGCGAGAACTCATCATCCGTGACATCTAATCCGCTGCTGCTGATGATGATGATCATGGTGATGCCGACGACGATGATGATGACGATGATGCAGCTGCAGCTGCTGCTGCTGTTGAGTATCCCCGCCTCGCTGGTGGCCCAGGACGGCAACCCGGCACAATTCGGCCAGTTCCAGGATGGAGGCTACGACCGCCACCCCATGTTGTTCTTCAGCGCGCGGGACGTGGCCGGTCTGCGCGCCTCGGCGGCCGCGTCGAGCCACGCGCACATCGTGAGCCGCCTGCACGAGGCGGCGCTCACCATGATGGAGCAGAGCGGCGACCACCTCCCGCCCTGGGATCCGCTCGAGTTCGGCGCCGTCTGGAACGAGATCTACGGCAACAACCTGGGAGCCATGGCCTTCTACAGCTTCCTCTACCCGAACGACACCGGAGCCAGAGACTTCACCATCGAGTACATGGACAGGATGGCAGCGCAGTCCTGGTGAGTTGGGGGTGGTGGTGAGTTGGTGGTGGTGGTGAGTTGGTGGTGGTGGGTGGTGAGTTGGTGGTGGTGGTGAGTTGGTGGTGGTGGTGGGTGGTGAGTTGGTGGTGGTGAGTTGGTGGTAGTGAGTTGGTGGTGGTGGTGAGTTGGTGGTGGTGGTGGATGGTGAGTTGGTGGTGGTGTTCTTGCTTCTGTTGTCGTCGTCGTCGCACGGCTGCTGATGTGGAATGCACGAGACGGCGACTTCAATGTCACATTGAGGTTGGCCGAGCCAGAAGACAATCGCATCAGGAGCAGGAGCGGAGTGCGTCGCTGCGATGATGTCCTCCGACGTCGTATTCGTGGATCGCGACGTGCGTTGTTACCGTCTCTGTTCTGGATGGCCGCAGTGGCACACTCCTGGAGAGTTTTTAATATTCCATTTGTGCATCGGGTATCCGCATCTGCTGCTGCCACGGCTTGTGCAGGGGACGTGGTTTAGGGTGGACCGTGAACTTCGTGGGAGATCAAACCCAGGGTTATTCTGCCTGTGTTTTTTTTTTTCAACAAGCTGTGGTGGTGGTGATTGTGGCCATTAGTCAGTAAGGAGCGTTAGTGTAGCGGTTAGCGCTATACGCTGCGCCTCGAACCCGGCGACCCGAGTTTGATTCCAGCTCACGGCCAACACCAGTGACGATTATTTGAACCGGTTCTTTCCCTCCTTCCCTGGGTCGACTCAGCCTCAAATTCGTACTTGGCGCAGTGTGTAAACATTGGCGCTAGGGATAGAAAGGCAATGTCGGCCTCGCTCACAGCATTTGCCCCAACAGTCTGTTCAAGGCTTTTCGGGGGATCTTCGTTTTCGTCGTGCGTCTAAGTGGGGCTGTGAATGTGTGAATGAGTGGGAGAGCGAGATGGTGGGTGAGTGGGTACCTGATTGTGAAGGCTTTGATGGCCGTCGTGGGCTCTGGTTTGTTGTGATTGTTGCTTGCTATTGCGGAGGTGTCACACGGATGGCTCGGAGGTTGTCGAGACACCGATCGTCTGGGAACGATTGTGGGTCGGCTTTCAGACGCCCGTAGCCGTGACCGAACCGAATGCTCACGTGTCGAGACAGTTTTCATGTCAGTTTCATTTATTAGGTGTTTCCCTGTGAGCCATGCGGCTCTTGACTCGGGTGCAACCGCAACAAACCAAAAACATGAACAAGAAACACCTTCAAGTGACTACGCGCAGACAAAAAAGTCCTGGGAAAACAGCAAATATTTTCCAGGAAAAACACACCGCATTTCAACGCTGTGTGCAAAAAAATCTCAGTGGGATGCAAGTCAAACAATAACAACCATAAGACAATGTGGATTAAAGTTGTCAGGCCAACTCTGTACCACAACAAACAAACATGGCCAGACTAAACCGTCCTCAAAATCACCAAACTAAAGCCACAAAAACAATGTAACAGTGATCATAGGAACTGTGTTTTCAGGCAGAGAGAGAGAGATGACGGTTCGCTTTTGGGGAAGTGTCACACTGCACGGTGCTCGGAGACGCGGTGATGATATGTTATCTCCCTCTCCTGCCAAACAGGAAATCGCGTGTATGTTGAACTTCTTTTTGTACCGTACGTGGCAAAATGACAATGCCGTAGGTTCGACCCCGACCCCAGGCAACGCCTGCTGTATATTTGGAGTCTGCGTTGTGTCTCTCTCTCTCCCCGTGGTCGCGTTTAAAGTTTGCCATTTAGAAGGTTTGGCGTTTAAAGGTTCGCGTTTAAGAGTTGACGTTTAAGGTTTGGCGTTTAAAGGCCGGCGTTTAAGTGGTTGGCATTTTCAGGTTGGTTTTTAAGATTTTGGCCTTTGAGAGTTGGACCTTTTTTCCGGGTCCTCCGCTTTTTTGTGTCGTCCACATTGGCGATCAACATCGCGCGTTCCGATGATTTGGCTGCTATACATTCCCACGCGATAAACCACCTTGTTGAGCTATCAATGTGCGGCCAGGTCGCTTCTAAAAATAAAATGAGAGCTAACAACTCAGTGGACTTTACACGGAGAATAAAATAGGTACTGTTTAAAAAAATTTAGTTTTACCTATTTATTATTCATATAGAGTACCTTAGCTCGAAACGCTGAACACAATTCAAAGTGATTTAGATGGCAGGGGGGGGGGGGGGCTGCACAAGGGCTGAGGAATGAGTGGAGTGGGCGGAACAGGGGGGGGGGGGGGGGGCCGCGTGCTTTCGCACCGCGCGTAGCCGACCGTGCTGGCTGCAGGTGCAGGGGAACGACAACGAGATTTGGCCGTCACGGCTCAGGGTCTGGGTTCGAATGCGGAAGGGGACGGCTCTGGACGGCCCGAGCTGGGATTGAACTTGGTTGTTCTACGTGCGGATGGTTGCTGGGCTCAGCCCGGCCGTCCATAAATGACGTCACGCACCTGGGGGGGGGGGGGGTGTCAGACATTTGTGACGATGTGTGACGACGGGGGTTAGGGGGGGGGTTGAGAAATGCGCCGTCACGTCAAAATGCGCAGCTTTAAATAAATATAGACAACACGTTCAACTTAACTAAATAGACTTAAAAATATATATATCCTACAACATCAGAGTGCAGCGCCACATTAAATACGCACTACAATGACAATAGTTTAAATCGATTTGAAGCATGTTTATTTTCGGGGGGGGGGGGGGGGGGGGGACAGAGCTTTGTGACGTCATATTTGAGGGGGGATCTGGTAACTCGAGTGCAGTGAGGCGATGGGTCTCTATGTGAGTCTATGAGTCTCTGTGTGAGTCTATGAGTCTCTGTGTGAATCTATGGGTCTCTGTGTGAGTCTATGAGTCTCTGTGTGAATCTATGGGTCTCTGTGTGAGTCGATGGGTCTCTATGTGAGTCTATGAGTCTCTGTGTGAGTCTATGGGTCTCTGTGTGAGTCTATGAGTCTCTGTGTGAGTCTATGAGTCTCTGTGTGAATCTATGGGTCTCTGTGTGAGTCTATGGGTCTCTGTCTGAGTCGATGGGCCTCTGTGTGAGTCTATGGGTCTCTGTGTAGTCTATGGGTCTCTCTGTGAGTCTATGGGTCTCTCTGTGAGTCTATGGGTCTCTGTGTGAATCTGTGGTTCTCTGTGTGAGTCTATGGGTCTCTGTGTGAGTCGATGGGTCTCTGTGTGAGTCTATGGGTCTCTTTGTGAGTCTATGGGTCTCTGTGTGAGTCTATGGGTCTCTGTGTGAGTCTATGGGTCTATGTGTGAGTCTGTGGGTCTCTGTGTGAGTCTATGGGTCTCTGTGTGAGTCGATTGGTCTCTATGTGAGTGTATGGGTCTCTGTGCGAGCTTATGGGTCTCTGTGTGAATCTATGGGTCTCTGTGTGAGTTTATGGGTCTCTGTGTGAGTCTGTGGGTCTCTGTGTGAGTCTATGGGTCTCTGTGTGAGTCGATGGGTCTCTTTGTGGGTCTATGGGTCTCTGTGTGAGTCGATCGTTCTCTGTGTGAGTCGATGGTTGTCTGTGTGAGTCTATGGGTCTCTGTATGAGTCGATGGGTCTCTGTGTGAGTCTATGGGTCTCTGTGTGAGTCTGTGGGTCTCTGTGTGAATCTATGGGTCTCTGTGTGAGTCTGTGGGTATCTGTGTGAGTATATGGGTCTCTGTGTGAGTCTATGGGTCTCTGTGTGAGTCTATGGGTCTCTGTGTGAGTCTATGGGTCTCTGTGTGAGTCTATGGGTCTCTGTGTGAGTCGATTGGTCTCTATGTGAGTGTATGGGTCTCTGTGCGAGCTTATGGGTCTCTGTGTGAATCTATGGGTCTCTGTGTGAGTTTATGGGTCTCTGTGTGAGTCTGTGGGTCTCTGTGTGAGTCTATGGGTCTCTGTGTGAGTCGATGGGTCTCTTTGTGGGTCTGTGGGTCTCTGTGTGAGTCTTTGGGCCTCTGTGTGAGTCTATGGGTCTCTGTCTGAGTCGATGGGTCTCTGTGTGAATCTGTGGTTCTCTGTGTGAGTCTATGGGTCTCTGTGTGAGTCGATGGGTCTCTGTGTGAGTCTGTGGGTCTCTGTCTGAGTCGATGGGTCTCTGTGTGAGTCTATGGGTCTCTGTGTGAGTCGATGGGTCTCTGTGTGAGTCTATGGGTCTCTGTCTGAGTCGATGGGTCTCTGTGTAAATCTGTGGTTCTCTGTGTGAGTCTATGGGTCTCTGTGTGAGTCGATGGGTCTCTGTGTGAGTCTGTGGGTCTCTGTGTGAATCTGTGGTTCTCTATGTGAGTCTATGGGTCTCTGTGTGAGTCGATGGGTCTCTGTGTGAGTCTATGGGTCTATGTGTGAGTCTGTGGGTCTCTGTGTGAGTCTATGGGTCTCTGTGTGAGTCTGTGGGTATCTGTGTGAGTATATGGGTCTCTGTGTGAGTCTATGGGTCTCTCTGTGAGTCTATGGGTCTCTGTGTGAGTCTATGGGTCTCTGTGTGAGTCTATGGGTTTCTGTGTGAGTCTATGGGTCTATGTGTGAGTCTGTGGGTCTCTGTGTGAGTCTATGGGTCTCTGTGTGAGTCTGTGGGTATCTGTGTGAGTATATGGGTCTCTGTGTGAGTCTATGGGTCTCTCTGTGAGTCTATGGGTCTCTGTGTGAGTCTATGGGTCTCTGTGTGAGTCTATGGGTTTCTGTGTGAGTATATGGGTCTCTGTGTGAGTCGATTGGTCTCTATGTGAGTGTATGGGTCTCTGTGCGAGCTTATGGGTCTCTGTGTGAATCTATGGGTCTCTGTGTGAGTTTATGGGTCTTTGTGTGAGTCTGTGGGTCTCTGTGTGAGTCTATGGGTCTCTGTGTGAGTCGATGGGTCTCTTTGTGGGTCTATGGGTCTCTGTGTGAGTCGATGGTTCTCTGTGTGAGTCGATGGTTGTCTGTGTGAGTCTATGGGTCTCTGTGTGAGTCGATGGGTCTCTTTGTGGGTCTATGGGTCCCTGTGTGAGTCGATGGTTGTCTGTGTGAGTCTATGGGTCTCTGTGTGAGTCGATGGGTCTCTTTGTGGGTCTATGGGTCTCTGTGTGAGTCGATGGTTCTCTGTGTGAGTCGATGGTTCTCTATGTGAGTCGATGGTTCTCTGTGTGAGTCGATGGTTCTCTGTGTGAGTCGATGGTTCTCTATGTGAGTCGATGGTTCTCTGTGTGAGTCGATGGTTCTCTTTGTGAGTCTATGGTTCTCTGTGTGAGTCTATGGGTCTCTGTGTGAGTCTATGGGTCTCTGTGTGAGTCGATGGGTCTCTTTGTGGGTCTGTGGGTCTCTGTGTGAGTCTTTGGGCCTCTGTGTGAGTCTATGGGTCTCTGTCTGAGTCGATGGGTCTCTGTGTGAATCTGTGGTTCTCTGTGTGAGTCTATGGGTCTCTGTGTGAGTCGATGGGTCTCTGTGTGAGTCTGTGGGTCTCTGTCTGAGTCGATGGGTCTCTGTGTGAGTCTATGGGTCTCTGTGTGAGTCGATGGGTCTCTGTGTGAGTCTATGGGTCTCTGTCTGAGTCGATGGGTCTCTGTGTAAATCTGTGGTTCTCTGTGTGAGTCTATGGGTCTCTGTGTGAGTCGATGGGTCTCTGTGTGAGTCTGTGGGTCTCTGTGTGAATCTGTGGTTCTCTATGTGAGTCTATGGGTCTCTGTGTGAGTCGATGGGTCTCTGTGTGAGTCTATGGGTCTATGTGTGAGTCTGTGGGTCTCTGTGTGAGTCTATGGGTCTCTGTGTGAGTCTGTGGGTATCTGTGTGAGTATATGGGTCTCTGTGTGAGTCTATGGGTCTCTCTGTGAGTCTATGGGTCTCTGTGTGAGTCTATGGGTCTCTGTGTGAGTCTATGGGTTTCTGTGTGAGTCTATGGGTCTATGTGTGAGTCTGTGGGTCTCTGTGTGAGTCTATGGGTCTCTGTGTGAGTCTGTGGGTATCTGTGTGAGTATATGGGTCTCTGTGTGAGTCTATGGGTCTCTCTGTGAGTCTATGGGTCTCTGTGTGAGTCTATGGGTCTCTGTGTGAGTCTATGGGTTTCTGTGTGAGTATATGGGTCTCTGTGTGAGTCGATTGGTCTCTATGTGAGTGTATGGGTCTCTGTGCGAGCTTATGGGTCTCTGTGTGAATCTATGGGTCTCTGTGTGAGTTTATGGGTCTTTGTGTGAGTCTGTGGGTCTCTGTGTGAGTCTATGGGTCTCTGTGTGAGTCGATGGGTCTCTTTGTGGGTCTATGGGTCTCTGTGTGAGTCGATGGTTCTCTGTGTGAGTCGATGGTTGTCTGTGTGAGTCTATGGGTCTCTGTGTGAGTCGATGGGTCTCTTTGTGGGTCTATGGGTCCCTGTGTGAGTCGATGGTTGTCTGTGTGAGTCTATGGGTCTCTGTGTGAGTCGATGGGTCTCTTTGTGGGTCTATGGGTCTCTGTGTGAGTCGATGGTTCTCTGTGTGAGTCGATGGTTCTCTATGTGAGTCGATGGTTCTCTGTGTGAGTCGATGGTTCTCTGTGTGAGTCGATGGTTCTCTATGTGAGTCGATGGTTCTCTGTGTGAGTCGATGGTTCTCTTTGTGAGTCTATGGTTCTCTGTGTGAGTCTATGGGTCTCTGTGTGAGTCTATGGGTCTCTGTGTGAGTTGATGATTCTTATGTGAGTCGATGGATCTCTGTGTGAGTCAATGGCTCTCTATGTGAGTCGATGGGTCTCTGTGTGAGTCTATGGGTCTCTGTGTGAGTCGATTGGTCTCATGTGAGTCTATGGGTCTCTGTGTGAGTCGATGGGTCTCTGTGTGAGTCGATGGTTTGCTGTGTGAGTCTATGGTTCTCAACCCAGTCACCAATGACTGCCCAAAATAAAACCGTGACCACGTTCCACTTGATTCAGCGCTGAATTTGGTTACATTTCACCTCTGAGAATGATACATACAACTCAGAGATGTGGTTGTGCATTGGACATCACTCCCTCGCCATCCTCTCAAGGGGATGGTTGGCCAGCACCACGCCCAGCCGCTTTTATCACCCCAGTGGCGATGTTTACACGACGCACCAGGTACTCGTTTGAGCAGAGGCGGGCCATCAGGGCCAGCAAGGCCTAGAGATTGTTAGAATCATAATATTATATTTTTATTATTTAATATATGTCTTCATTAATGCTATATGTATTTTACAAATATTGTTCCCATCAGTCTATTAACGTCATTTCTTTGCTAATGTCTCCCTCAGTTGCGCTGCTTCCAGTTTTTATCCAATCAGATTTCCCACCTGTGCTGCTGTCTCCGCCTCTCCGGGTGAAAAATCGACCCTGAGGCCTTCAGAATGTCGAGTGAATCCCCTCCGCTGTTGAAGCAAATGGGGACGATGTTGTCGATCGTCATATTCGTTAACCAATCAGATGTCGAGTTTGCCATGTGTTCTTTGACACGCCGGAGCCTTCTAGCTGGCCTAGCCGCCTACGTCAGCATTTTTCCTGTGGCGTGATCGGAGGGCCAGTGAGCTACCTGAAGTAAAACTAGCTAGCACGTAACGTAGCATCATCTAAGATGTATTTAAACTTTTTTTCGTGACGTTTAGATTTTTAGATGTCGTGCTTTAGATTTTTTGTTTTTTTTTCTGTGGGGAAGCCTGTTGAATCCTGATTGTGTTATTTGTGTTTTACGGCATTTTTGCTTGCTTTGTGGTCGTATGAGTAAATTTGACTGGTTGCTGTGAGTTTGTTCTTGTCCTTTGGTAATGACATTGATTCGGGCTATGCGATGTCTACTGTATTTGTGATGCAGCATGCTGTCATACTGCGTAATAGTGGTACATCCTTGATATATTCAGTCACCATGTATTCATGTCTCTGCAATTAGTGTATTGTAACTCTCATAGGCGTTGAGCCTCGTGTTAAATCACGTTATTCCACTCGATAAAGGTTACTGTTACTGTGAATATGGGGTGGTTACGTCGAATGACAACAGCCTATAGCCCTAGTGTCATGGTGAGGTTATTCGAAGGCGGTTCAATTGCGGGAGGATAGCACTGAAGGCCTCGGTGTAAAATACACGGCACACCACTGCATTTGAGGCTCAGTTGACCTGGGGGAGGCACAGAAACCGATTCAGATACTCGTCACTGAGTTTGGAATCGAACTCGGTGTCGCCGGGTTCATGACGCAGCATAGCACTAACCCTCACGCTACTGCCGCCCATACACACACACACACCCATGAAGCCACTGGGAGTTCTGCACTTTTAAATCTACATTGTGATTAGTTTGTTGTCCTTCTACGATTCGCACGTTTCGCTACGTACTGTGTGAACTAAATCCAGCATACATACATCACACGCTTACTCTTCTTTCACTCACCCTTGCAAACGAGACCCACCCTTGTCTCTCTCTCTCTCTCACCTGCGGGTCACACAAACTCAACCCCCTCGTGTGGCCAACGAGCAGCAACAACAGACAACAACAACAACGAAAACACCCCGTCTCAGTTCTGTGATATCCACTTCAGCGGTAGCCACTTTCTTTGCTGCGTCTCGCCCACAGGACCGCGATTGCTCTGCCGAACAACAACGTCCTCATCGCCTACTCGCTGGCCGGCTTCGCCACCGCGTACGACCTCGCGTACGAGAAGCTGGACTCGGGGAGGCGGTGCAAATACGCCAGCGTCATAGCGGCGGGCGCGAGGAATCTGTCCTCAGCCGTGAGCGCCGACGCGTGCTGCCTGGGCCACAGTGACTCTTCGACCAAGGCCGTGGCCATGATGATTGCGGGGCTGGTTCTCCTCCACGATGGTGGGTCACTTGATTTAGATTTTGTTCCGTTTTAAAAATTTCGCCACGCGGTTTTGGCCGAGCAACACATCTCAATGGGTCCGACACGCCAATCGGCAAGCCACACACAGCACGCCACAATGTGGAGGGGGACGGGCGGTGGTGATGGATGCGAGGTGTTCGTTTTTTTGTACTCCAGCGTTTGCGTGCGTGTGTGTGTGTGGCGTGGGGAGTGGTGGCGCAGTGGTTAGCGCATTGCGCTTACGAACACGGCTCCGACCCGAGTGTGATTTCTGCTCACGGCAACCAGCACCAGTGGCAGCTATTATCGGGACCAGTTCAGGGCATCCCTTAGATCGACTCAGCCTCAAATGAGTACCTGGTGCAGTGTGTAAAACATCGCCACTGGGGAGACAAAGGCGGCCGGGCGTGGTGTTGGCCACCCACTTCTTCGTGCGCCGTGACAGCCTTCATAGGTGCTCGCTAACAGCACGTGCCCCAGCAGTCTGTTGAGGCTATACGGGGGATCTTTGTCTTTGTATAGTGAACTTCATTCTCACCGTACGTAGCCAACCAACCGTGCTAATCGGAGGTGCGGGGTGAAGCTTTCCCCGTTCCTCCCCCCCCCCCCCCCCCCCCGTTAAAGGAGCGCAAACTCTCCGTCTCCCTCTCCTCTCTCTCAGGAGTTGACGGCCAGGATGCCCCGCAATGGATAAAGACGGCCGTGAAGATCTTGGAGAAGTCCATGATCATCCTGGACGAGGTGGCCGACGGATCGATGAGCGATGGCGTCGCTCCGGGCACCGCCGAGGGCCGCGCCCTCCTCCAGTACGTCTTCCTCGCCAAGCGGCACTTCAACGTCAGCCACGGGGACAACGCGTGGCTCCGTGGGCACTTTGACTTCTTCTACAGGAGCCTCCAGCCGGGTGAGAGGGAGGGCCTCGTCCTCGGGGTGGGGGGTGGGGGGTGGGGGGCCGCCGCCGTCGTGTTCGGAGATTCGGCGAAGGTCTTGCGCCGTCCGTTGGGAGCGCGCCGGAGGAATTCGTCCGGCTTCGGATTGTCCAATTTGCGTGCACGTGTGCCCATGGGACTTCTTTCGCACCGTGCGTGGCCGACCGTGCTGATAGGAGGTGAGGGGATGAAGGACAATCGGACCAAACCCGAAGATCCACCATGTTGAGAAGTCCATTGAACTCTTTACTTTTAATGATGCAGCAATGTCAGATATTCGTTGAGATTGCACGGGAGTATTTACAAATTCCGGTGGTCCATTGGATCGTAGTGGGGCATTCACCGTGGTCAGGGGCCCACTGGGCTGTACCCGAGAATCCACCACGGTGATAGATAGGTCCATTGCCTGGACTGCGGCAGGACATAGTAATGATTGAGGCATGAGATGTTGCGTGAAGGCGCATTGAGTTTGCCGAGGCATTTAATGCTTTGCCGTTCCGAGATGTCTGCAAGTTGCAGGGTGGGGGGGGGGGGGGTCCCGTTCACTGCTCAATAACTCGGAATGCACAAGTGGCTCAAAGACATTGTTACTCACCGCAGAGAACTGCAGAGACAGGACCACACTCGCGCCAAAACGTGCCACACGCCCTTCCACATGGCCTTGTACGTCATCAGAATGGAATCGGAAATAAAATCTGACGACGTACGCATACGTCATCGGAATTGGTAAAGGGCTATGCAGGCGCCACTATACACGTGCATCAACAGATCCTAACGTCCTTGCGTTCATCCGCGTAAATCCGCCTCCATCCTCCAAGGTTTCCAAAGGACGATCGGGCTCGGGGATTCGGACCTCAACTGGAACTACGGCCCCGAGGCTCACCTGGCCTTCCTGGACACCTACATCCTGCGCAACGGCAGTGGCAACTGGCTGGCGAGCCAGATCAACACGTACCGCCCCAAGAATGGCACGGGCGCTCCCACGCCCACCAAGCGATGGAGCACCCTGCACCTGGAGTACATCTGGTGAGTAGGAGGGAATACCTGAGAGGTGGTGGGGTGGGGTGGTGGGGTGGGGTGGTGGGGTGGTGGGGTGGTGGGGTGGAGGTAGTGGGGTGGTGGGGTGGTGGGTGGTGGTGGTGGGGTGGTGGGGTGGTGGGTGGTGGGGTGGGGTGGTGGGGTGGTGGTGGGGTGGTGGGGTGGAGGTAGTGGGGTGGTGGGGTGGTGGTGGTGGGGTGGGGTGGTGGGGTGGTGGTGGTGGGGTGGGGTGGTGGGGTGGTGGTGGTGGGGTGGGGTGGTGGGGTGGTGGTGGTGGGGTGATGGGGTGGTGGTGGTGGTGGGGTGGTGGGGTGGTGGGGTGGTGGTGGTGGGGTGGTGGGGTGGTGGTGGTGGGGTGGGGTGGAGGTGGTGGGGTGGTGGTGGTGGGGTGGTGGTGGTGGTGGGGTGGGGTGGTGGTGGTGGGGTGGTGGGGTGGTGGGGTGGTGGTGGTGGTGGGGTGGTGGTGGTGGGGTGGGGTGGAGGTGGTGGGGTGGTGGTGGTGGGGTGGTGGTGGTGGTGGGTGGGGTGGTGGTGGTGGGGTGGGGTGGAGGTGGTGGGGTGGTGGTGGTGGGGTGGTGGTGGTGGGGTGGTGGGGTGGGGGTGGTGGGGTGGTGGTGGTGGGGGTGGTGCGCTGCTCTACAAACCCAGTGACCCAGCTTCGATTCCATTTCACGGCCAACACCGGTGGCGATCATCTGAACCATTCCTGCGCTTCCTCTAGGTCGACTCAGCCTCAAATGGGTGCCTGGTGTGGTGTGTAAACATCGCCACTGGGGAGACAAAGGCGGTCGGGCGTGGTGCTGGCCACCCACCCCTCATGTGCTCGCTAACAGCACTTGCCCCAACACTCTGCTGCAGGTTATATGGTGGAGTTTTGTCTTTGTTTGGCAGTGGTGGTGATGAGACTGAGTGTCACCCTTGAAAACTTAACAGCTATTGCAAGGGGGCTGGCATGAGGAAGAAGGGCACAACGACAACCCAATTTACGTCTCCCCCTTTCACGTCACTTCGCACATTACGCCGTCACTCGATGGAAAACTCCACTACGACCAGATGTGTGTCGCCTCGGCCCCACACTAACGTCGCTAGACAGCATCATCATCGTCCTTCGTCTCTCGTGACCCGTCGCCTCTCAGCCTTTGTCCTCCACCTAAACGTCGTTGTGCGATATTCGTCGTCACACGTTTCAGGAACGCATTCCCCCACCACCGCCCCGACTGTCGTGCAACGTGTGAGCTCTACTAGCGCTGTCAGTGTCACTGTTCACAGCAACGAAATGATCGTTGCATCGCACGATATAAAATAACCTCTTAACACTTTTTCTCGACCTCTTAACACTTTTTTTCGACCTCTTAACACTTTTTTTCGACCATCGGCACCACCGAGATGTTCATGCCCCTCCCCCCGCTACCCCCATCTCTTTCCCTTGCGCGCTTCCTTCCCAGGTATGACGCCAACCTGACCCCCACGCCGCCGCCGGACTACGGCACCCCGGCGCTGCACCGCTTCGACAACTGGGGCGTCGTCACCTACGGGAGCCCTCAGCCAGCCGGGTCCAACGCCACCTTCGTCGGCTTCAAGTCGGGCAAGCGAGGTGGGGCGGCGGTCAGCGACATTATCCGCAGAGAGCGCTACCGGGAATGGACGAACGGCGACTGGAATAAGTTCAACAACGGGCACGAGCACCCCGATCAGAACACCTTCGTGTTCACGCCCAACGGCGTGCCCTTCATCGTGGAGGGCTGCGGCAATGGCAAGTTCACGTGGCACAGCAACGTGCCGATGTTCAGCACGGACCCGTCGACGCCGGCCTTGCAGCTCTGCAAGCCGCCCTGGGTCGGCCAGAAACTGGAGTCCTGTGAAACATTGTACAACTCGTTGTACAATGTGTCCGACCCGTACTCAGACGGCCGCGTGCTGGCCGCCGCGGAGCAGAGTGGGACGGTGTTCATCCGCGGCGACTCGGCGGACGCTTACGAAGCCTTGCTGGGGTTGAGCAGCCTCGTGCGCGACGTCGTGCTGCTCTACCCCCAGCTGGCGCTGGTCGTCGACCACGTCCACCTCAACGAGAGCAGCACGGTGAATGGGATCGCGTCGTTCTTCCACAACCTCGACTGGAGCTTTGAGCAGGATAAGAAGGGGATTCTGCACGGAGCGAAGATCCCGAGGCCCGACGGAGACTACGCGCTCTACTGGACGGATGATCAGAATCTAAGCCCACGGGCCCTGCTGGTGAGTGGTCTCTTCATTAATAGCATCGTTATCATCATAGAGTGCAGGTGCCGGAAGGATCGTTGTATCGCAAGAAAGTAATCTATGGTTATGGCTTGGGGAGGCCTTCATCCAGGCAGCGGATCGATAGAAGGCTTGCGCTACTGATGCCGATGACGATAATGATCACATGGGCCTAGTTGCACACAGATGACCACCAAACATTGTGCCCCTTCTAAGGCTAGAGCTTGCTTCAAGCCAGTTGTACGCAACAAGTTGCAGGCAAGATCTTGGCTCCAGTGGGCTTTCGCGATCATTGGGTGTCAGTTTCAGTAAAAATTTTAAGTACCCTGTGAGCTAAGCAGCTCTGAAGTCGAGTTTCATCAATAATAAGCAATATTAAAAAATACTTTTTTTAAAACACGCTTTAATGAAATGTATCGTACTCGTAATGGCAAAACTCCACGACTACAGGAAGTGGCCCCGAAGCTTGCTATAACGTAAGAGACCGTAGTGATTTACAGCTGTCAGTTGAGCGTGGACAATTAGACCCAAGCCGAAACATAACATATAAAAAGATGGTTTAAAAATACTTTTATTTATTTTCAATGTTAGAATATAGTATTGTCATCAGTATGAAATACCAAGTTTGCAGTCGATAACACATTGGGAAGTGGGTGAAAATTGAGTTAGAAGATTTGAGGATACGACAACAACAACAGACAGAGTAAGTTAATAGAAAGCGTGTAAAAAGATTGTTTAAAAATATTTTTTTATTTTTTTTATGATAGAATATAGTATTGTCATCAGTATGACATAAGTATACTAAGTTTTCAGTCGATACCACATTGGGAAGTGGATTAAAATTGAGTTACAAGATTTGAGGATACGACAATAGCAACAACAGAGTGAGTTAAATAAAAGCGTGTAAAAACTACACACCGTTTCCATGACAGACGTAACAGAGAAACATAAATAAATAATACAAATCAATGAAAAAAAGCTAATAAGAAATGATATCATTTAAAGTATAAAATGTATCTTTTAAAAGTTTTGAGCTAAATATGGAGTGCAAGATTAGTCGTAAAAAGTGCCAGTGGTAAAACACACCGTTTCCCAAGAAACACGAAATTTAAATCTCTACCAGTAGACGATAACTTTAATCAAAATTCACCATTGGCAGTTGGGATTTTTTTTTTACCGAAGGCCCAAACAAATGGAAGGGATTCTCGCCAAGAAGATGCTTCTCCAGCCGGGGTGATTTCACCTGCGGATGTTTGTGACGAGTCGTCATAACTAGTGACCATAACGATTCGTCGTAACGAACCATCGTAACGAGATGCCCACACGCACAAGAGGTTCAGTTGCACTAAACCAAGTCGCACTCAACCGAGTTGCACTCGACCGAGTTGCACGCAACCCATCTTGCTCAACGGATCGCTCGGGTGCGGAAGCGACTTCATACTCTGGCCCACCTGACTTCCCCTGCCGATCATCTCGCCCGTACCAGGTGGACGAGCCGTACCAGCCCGGGCCGCAGGTCAGGGCCACCCACTACGCCCAGATCGAGTTCGACGTCCGCAAGCCGCTCACCCGCCTAGCCTACGTCTTCCTGGGGCCGGCCATGACCCTCGACAGCCTGGTGATGGTGGCTAGGGAGGAGAGCGTGGATGTGGTGGTGCAGGTGAACGGTCAGACCTACTCGGTGCTGCTCAATTCCCAGCGGCTGGTCGAGAGCGCCAACGCCTCCTACTGCGAGGTGACCCACGGCTTGGGGGATGTGAAGAAGACGTTCCGAGCGACAGGCAGTGGCACTGTGGGGAATGCTTCCTCCCCTGACTACAAAGGCGACCACGTGCAGAGACTCGCAGAAAGCCTTAAACTCCTGGAGGTGGTCTTCGACAAGGTCGCTAACGGTGAGGGTCCTTTGGCGAAGTGAGGGTTGCTCAAAAGGTGTGATGATGATGATGTTGTTGATGCTCGAGGGGGGGGGAGATCCTCCGAACGGAGGTTGGCGAAGGTGTGGTGGTGCATCGGCGTTGATTCGATCGCTCAATGCGGATGTGGGGCTCGGTGTGATCGGTGCGATGTGGTCGTCTTCACGGTGAGGTTGGGTTTTGCCATCGTCATTCAAATTCTCTCTCTTCTTCTAAATCTCCATCCCAATGCTCCTCGCTTTAAAACCTTCTTCATCCCCTGCTCTTCGCCATCATCCACAATCATCCTCCTCATCCTGCTAAGTCTGCCATTGCTCCTCCTGCACCGCCTCCAATTCGTCTTCCTCATTTTGCAATTCAATCTCAACCTTCTCCAATTCCTCATCCACCTTTTCCACTTCCTCCAATTTCCTCATGAACCTTCTCCATTACCACAACCACCTCCTCCTCGTCGCTGTTCCCCTCCTCGCCCTCTTAACTCTCGATCTCTCTGTCTGTGGCGTGCGGCGTGCCAGCGAGTGTCGTGGGCGATCCGCTGTGGTGCGAGAACGCGACCCCCGGGGGAGGAGGAGGAGGAGGCTTCTCGTGCACATGCCAGTTCAAGGGGCTCTGTCTGAGCACCGACCACCAGGAGTGTGCAGGTGCGAGGAACCCTCATCATCACCATCATCATCATCATCGATATCACCATCCACATCGTCGTCGGCATCGTCGCCACCGTCATCGACACCGCCATTAATATCGTCGCAATCATCATCATCGATATCGTCGTCGACATCGTCGCCACTATCATCGACATCATCATCGACATCATCACTATCATCGATATCACCATCGATATCACCATCGTCGATATCACCATCGTCGATATCATCGATATCACCATCGACATCGTCGCCACCACCATCGACATCGTCATCATCACTATCATCAATATCACCATCGACATCTTCAGTTGCCACCACCATCGCCACCATCATCGACATCATCATAGTCATCATCGCAATCATCAGCATCTTCATTACAATGACCATGTATGTATGTTGATCGTCTTTCGCACCGTACGTAGCCAACCGTGCTCACCATCATCGCCAACATCATCAACGTTGTCACCACCCCCATCACCGGCGCTATCAACGGTAGCAGCAGCAGCGCTGTTCATCACCATCACCGGGTCCTCTGCTCTCTCTCCCTCTCTCTCTCCTCCCCTCTTTCTCTCTCTCTCTGTGCCGCAGTCCGAGCCGTCGTCTTCGTGCCCCTGTACGCGACCGCAGCGAGCCCAGCGAACTCCACGACTGTCGGTGAGTCTGGTCCGGGCGTTGTCACGGCTCGCTCCGTTCGGACGAGGGGGTCGCTAGGGTCCTGGGTCTGCTCCTCCGCACGAGACGAGCAGACCGACAAACAAACAGCACGAGCCCACGATGTCAACGTGCAGCGGTGAAGAGGGGGAATAGCAATCGGCACAATAACAATTGTCAAATGAGGGATCAAAAGCTTCAAATTTAGAAACGGTTACTGGGGCTCAACGTGGTATCGTGACTGATCGATGTCGTGACGATCGATGGTGTGATGATCAATATCGTGATGATCGACGTCGTCACCATCGGTATGGCGATGAGCATCTTATCGATGATACAATTTGACCCGAACGAGGCATTTTAGAGGGAGTCCCGAGACGTGTGTCCGTGTGGCCTTCACATCCTGCTGGGGCAAGTGCTGTTAGCGATGGCGGGACCTATGAAGGCCGGCACAGGCGCACGAGGGTGGCCAGCACCACGCCCCCGGCCGCCTTTGTCTCCCCTGTCGCGCTGTTCACACGTTATCGCACCGGGCATTCATCTGCGATTCTGAGTCGGCCCTTGGTGAGCTCCAGGATGAGCTGAGATCGGATGATATTTACCGCACCAGGTACTCATTTGAGTTTGAGTCGACCCTAGGGGAGGCCCAGGAGCGGTTCAGACGTTGGCCGTGAGTCGGAATTGAACTCGTGTCTCTGGTGGTCGTATCGGAGCTATCGCCCCCTCCACGCAGACACAAAGACAAAGCTCCCCCATATAGCCTTAAGAGACTGCTGTTAGCGAGTAGCAGCACCTACGAAGGCCGGCACAGCGCACGAGGGGGGGGGGGGTGGCCAGGCACGCAGTTCATTCTGATTCGACCTGCGGAAGGCCCAAACGACGGTTCAGACAATCGGTTGCTGTTGACCGTGAGCGGGAATCGAACTCTTATTCGCCTGGGTCCGTATGAGCCGTCCATAAATGACGTCACGCACATAGGGGGGGGGGGTCAGACATTTGTGACGATGTGTGACAAGGGGGGGGGGGGGTTGAGAAATGTGACGTGTACATCAAAATGCGCAACTTTAAATAAATATAGACAACACGTTCTACTTAATTAAATATACTCTTTAATACATGTTCCCTCCTACAACATCAGAGTGCAGCGCCACATTAAATACGCACTACAATGACAATAGCTTTAAAGCGATTTGAAGCATGTTTTATTTTCAAAATGGAAATATGATTTGGGGGGGGGGGCAGAGCTTTGTGACATCACATGAGAGGGGGGGGGGTCTGACTTTTTGTGACGCCGTGTGACGAGGGTGGGGGGCGGTCAAAATCGTTCAAAATCGCGTGACGTCATTTATGGACGGCCCCGTAGTGCTGAGCGAAACGCCCCCCCCCCCCCCCCGCTCACTGCGCCACGTCTCTCCCGCGCTGTGTGCAGCTCCTCCTCATCCTCCTGCCTCGGGCGGCGTGGAGGCGCGCGGCTTCTCCCGCCGCATCGCTCCGCCTCCTCCTCGTCGTCGTCGTCGTCCTCCTCCTCCCGGCGCTCCTCTTCTCCAGCCCGACGCCGCCCTGAGAGAGACTCGGCGCCATGGGGGGAGCTCTCAGCCCCCCCCGGGGGGAGCTGCCCATGGCTGAGCTCCGGAGAATATTGTCCGCCCGCCCCCCCCCCCCCCTTATCTATTGGAAGGTCCGAGTGGGGGGGTGGTGGGGAGAGGTTGACGGGTGTGTGTGTCTGTGCCTGTGTCTGTGTGTCTGTCTGTGTGTGCGTGTCTGTGTTTCTGTGCGTGTCTGTGTGTGTCTGTGTGTGTGTGTCTGTGCCTGTCTGTGTGTGTGTGTGTGTGCCTGTCTGTGTGTGTGTGTCTGTGTGTGTGTGCCTGTCTGTGTGTCTGTGTGTGTGTGCCTGTCTGTGTGTGTGTGTCTGTGTGAAAAACGCGGTCGGGCCCCCTCGTGTGCCCCTCCGGCCTGTGTAGGTACAGTACTCACTCACGGAGAATGCCCCAACAGTCTGTTGTTACAGGCAATACGGGGAAGATGTGTGTGAGCGACGCGTGTGTGCCCATCTTCATTTGGCGGGTGACGTGCACCCGCTTGTCACGTGTGTATAAAACCAACGTTTTAGGGAGTGGCCCTTCATCAAGAGGGACGGGCGGCAGACGTGTTGTCCGGCCTGTGGTTTGAAATCACGTGTTACAAAAGCGCTCATTTGTAAACATTTATTTGAAGCGGCGTCACCTGACAGACGCCTCGTCCGCAGGCGAGAAACCGACTGCCCCGGAACGCGTCGACGCTGATAGCAAACCACCAGCGCTCCACCCCTGGATCGTTACCGCGCGCCGTTCCGCGCGATGTCCGACATTTCGCTCAGCGTGCTGGGACGTCACGCGGGGCAACGCGTCGAGGCACTGGCCGGAGAGCCCGCCGTGCAACCGCGACACGCGGCATACAACGATTGTGCTCGTGTGTGCGTGCGTGTGTGCTATCATGCGGTCGCAATTTGCTGATTATCGGATCACGTGGCACGCACGTGGCGTCACGTGGTGTCTCGGGATGTCACGCGGCACCTCGTAAGGCGTCACGCGGCATCTCGCGGTGCCACGTGGCTTCTGGCGACGTCAAGTTTTGCCGGCTTTTAAGCCACGTCATGTCATTAGGCTGTGTAAAACGTAATAAGGAAACATCGGATTACGCTTTGTAACACGAGATGCATGCCCACCTGTGCAACGCGCAATTGCACTCTTGCCCTCTGAGATACATTTCTCACTCGCAGTCCACGATTCTTTAATTCTATACCTTAGTTTTTAATTATTTATTGAGCTACTTTGTTTAACGTGTCGTTTCAGCCATACGTGTGTGTGTTGTTAAAGAATAAGGTTATGTTTCTAGGTTTTTGTTGAGATTCTGATTGGATTTAAATAAAATGGTGTGCAATTTTCCGTGCTAATTGTGTTTGCGAATGTGTGTGTACACGTGTGTATGTGTACACGTGTGTGTGCACACGTGTGTGTGTACACGTGCAGGAGCGGTGGTGCAGTGGTTAGCGAACTGAAAAACATTTGCGGCCAATGATAACAGTGGCGAATATTTGAATCGGTCTTGGGACATCCCATAGGTCGACTCAGCCATAAATAAGTACAGTACCTGGCACGGTCAACAAACATAATGGGGGAGACAAAGGCTGCCGGGCGTGGTGTTGATCACACCACCCATTCGTGTGCTAACAGCAGTTGCCCCAACAGTCGATATATATTAGGATATACGGGGGATCATTGTAATTGTGGCTGCATGTATAGGCGAGTATGGTTGGGTGTGATTTACGCTGATCTGTTACATCACCATAATCAATGTATCACAGTGATAATCACATCACATCCCCATCAATGCATCCACGTCGCGGTGATGATAATCATCATCAGTAAATTATCGCCATCATAATTGCATTACCGTCGTCATTAAGCAATTAGACTATGTGAACTCGTTAAGTGCTGCCGCTGTGGACTCTGGGTAACGTAAATGAGACCTCCACTCCCTCCATCCACTGGAACAAATCAATCTACAACCGATTAGTTCACCGGCCAACTGGCTTCCCGTGCCAATACCGTAATCGTCACCGCAGCGTCGGTGGTAAGCGGGCAAACCCTCGGCTGGACTTTTGTTTTACCTCTCTGGGTCTTATCAGCAGAGTCACCACCGGCGTTAATCACACTCGGCAACAGGACCCCGTGGTGGTAGAGGGAGCGCTTCTCGACAATAAAGTGTGGCAACGCAGCAGCGTTTAAATACTGTTGTCGTAACGTTGTCAAGTTCTCACCTGCCCCTACCGGGCATCTGTGATAAAGAGCTTTATAGCTCATCGGATTCCTCCCGTATAAATACGTATTATTGCTTTCATATGAAGAGACGAGCGATTGTCGTAATTGATAAACTATTATAGTGAGATTATATCATAACTTAATATTTGCTCATCTAACTATATCACGGTTACCATCATCACCATCAACAATGAATTATGGCCATCATCGTCACTTAGTTATTATCAAGCGTTCTATGCGAACGCCATTAATTAATGATCAGGTTCATCATGATCATTGCTTGGATGTATGTACGAACCGTACGTAGCCAACCGTGCTAATCGGAGGTGCGGGGGAGGAATAACCAACCTAAGAAATACTTCAATGTGTAATCATCACCGCTTAAATCATTGTCAGCATACATACATCACTATCAAAACATCATCATCATCTCTTTCATCGTAGAGATGATTATGTGGTGTGGCTAACATTTTGCACCTCCGATTAGTACGGTTGGCTACGTACGGTGCGAAAGAAGTTCAACGTGCATACATCATCACCACCATCATCAATAAATCATCATCACCATCACTGGATCTATAGAATAATTTCATCGTCATTATAATCACTAGATCTATATCATCACTTCAACATTATCACCAACATTCTCACTGAATCTATATTATGACTTCATCATCATCACCATCATTATCACTCGATCTATATAATCAATTTATCATCCTCATCGCTATCATCATTACTGGATCTATATCATCACTTTATCATGATCACTATCATCATTACTGGATCCATATCGTAATCACCATCACTCCATCATTATTATCCTCACTGGATCCACATCATCGTCGTCATCATCCCCAGTCACGAATCAACATCAATTCGTAAACCACCACCGCTCTCATCACCGCCAACGCCATCACCACCGTCGCCTCTTTCCTGGGCTACAGCGACCACGCAGCCGTCGTCGCCGCTGCCGCCACGGCCGCCATCAGAGCGAGGAGCGTGGGGTCCGGGAGTCGCCTCGTGCGGGCGCCAGACCCTGCGGGGGAGAGGCAGAGGGCGCGGGGCCATGACCCGTTGAGATGCATCGGCAGCAGCGGCATCCTTCCGTAGCGGTGCGAATCGAATGGCAACATCTGAACCCTTGTCAGTCTCGCAGGCGCGCAATGCTACAACGCTGTTACTGAACGCGCGTGTTCTTAAGGTGTTCAGTTTGGTCTGCTTGCTTCTCCAGATGGTATTGAATCCTGCCACTACTCATTTTGCCTTTGCGATTCTCGCTCTTACGTCTTTCGTGCAGTCGTTGTTCCCTGCAAGTAGACTTCCCAACTATACAAATGCATTTAAATTCACAATCTTGCTACTTTATATCATTACTGCTTCATCAATGTCCTCCCTTCCGAACACCATCGTCTTCGTCTTTTTCACGTAAATCTCTCAGTCCTGCATCCCTGTCCTGAACTATGCAGCGCATGAACACTTTCCTCTGCAGGACGACAACGCAGCTTTCTTCCATCACGTTCACGTCGTCCGCGAATCTGGGCTTATTTATTCTTGCTCCTTGCACAGATATTCACGTGCCGTTCTCCTGAACGGCATCCATCACTCTTTCCAGAGTATGTGTCGAAATTGTTTGGTGATAGTGGATCTCATTGTCTCATACCTATTTTTGATTTTATATTTTTAAATTTATTTTCATTTATAATAAAAACAGTTAAATTTAATTGCATTTAACTGTTTTTATTATACAATTTTTATTTATTTTTATTTTTTAGATTTTTTTTTGTTTTCTATCTACGTGACTTTACCGAAACAACCAAGAATATGAATTCCTGCAGTCACGAAAGTTTTAAGTCTAAATTCATAGCTATTGCTGCTGGGAACCAATCTCCTATTTCCTGTTCCACACTTCACTGCTGTTTTTGACCGTTCACCTACATCCTGCAGAATCTGTGTCAGTCGTTTCCCTACTCCGTATGATCTTAATGTAGCCCACGTTACATCTTTCTAAGCCGAATAGAATGCTCTCTGGAAATCTATGCCAGCCAATTCTTCCTTTGCTTTCTCTGCTATGAGCCTTAACATTACGATTTGCTGTCCGGTGTTTCTATCTTTCCTAAACTCTGTCTATTCATCGGCCAAATAATGATCAGTCTGTGCTTTTAATCGATCTGATGGCATATTCCCCATGTGACTGATTAGCGCGATGGTTCTATCATTTCATTTCTTCCTGGCAAGATTCAAAACAATGTTCTGATTTTGTGCCAAACGCATGCTGCCACCTCGCGGCTTAGCCGCGTTAAAGCATCTCAATCGCTGACCCTGCAACCTTTCCCGTGCGAGTGGAACGCGTTGGTGTAGAACAGGACGTGTTTATAATGGGCGACGTTTCGTGCAATGGCCCTCCTTCAGGGCACAGTGGGGATTTAGCGCAGGCGGTGAGTCTGCGCAGTCATCTCAGTTGGTCAACCCGTAAGAGCTGGGCTGCCCAGCGACCTCCTGTACCTAGCCTGGCACAGCAGTCAATCTTCAATACCTGGGTCTGTCCCGTGGCCTCCTGCACCTAGCCTGGCACAGCAGTCAATTCTCAATACCTGGGTCTGTCCCGTGACCTCCTGCACCTAGCCTGGCACAGCAGTCAATTCTCAATACCTGGGTCTGTCCCGTGACCTCCTGCACCTAGCCTGGCACAGCAGTCAATCCTCAATACCCGGGTCTGTCCCGTGACCTCCTGCACCTAGCCTTGGCACAGCAGTCAATCCTCAATACCTGGGTCTGTCCCATGACTTCCTGCACCTAGCCTGGCACAGCAGTCAATCCTCAATACCCGGGTCTGTTCCGTGACCTGCACCTAGCCTGGCACATCAGTCAATCCTCAATACCTGGGTCTGCCCCGTGACCTCCTGAACCTAACCTGGCACAGCAGTCAACCCACAGCACCTGGGTCTGTCCCGTGACCTCCTGCACCTAGCCTGGCACAGAAGTCAACCCACAGCACATGGGTCTGTCCCGTGACCTCCTGCACCTAGCCTGGCACATCAGTCAACCCACAGGATCTGAGTCTGCCCCGCGACCTCCTGCACCTAGCCTGGCACATCAGTCAACCCAGAGCACCGAGGTCTGTGCCGTGACCTGCTCGCTGCCAACAGCGATCCTTTCACACACTTCACGTGATGACCTCACAGTGCACCTAGCCTGGCACGGGCAATCGTGGTGACGTCACCACCACTCAGTGTCGCGCTTACCTTTGGCTGTGGTTTGTATGGCCGTGGCGGCTGTCGATGTCACACCCGTCGTTGTGGCTCGTGTTGTCGGTGATACTGCAACACACATACACAAACAATATTACATTAGCTCCAATAATATATAACTGTTAAATTGATATTACATGAATGTCAATCGACTGGCAGAAACTCTATACTGTTCATTGACTGCTGATTGCGTTATCGGTGGAAATAAGCATATGCACAATTAAGACTTTAATATTAAATTTGATTTGAAATACTTATAATTGGGTCTAGAATCTAAACACCGTCGCTCAATCCCACTTGCAGAGAAGATTGAGTTGGGGTGGTGGGACGTGGAGGGTGTTTCTGATCGCTATTGCAGGTGCGAGGTGTTCACCGATTTTTGTTGTTGTATTGTTTTGCCTGGGAAATCGGCATCGTGGTGAGTTATTTAATTCTGATTATGAGCGTTAATAACTTGTTCATTTTGATCGAGTCAATGGATATAATGGAGTTGGAAGATGATTTGGGCGTTTTGGTGTTGAAAATAGAAGTTGTTTTTGCAAGAGATAACATTTGGTATTATTGTGTTAATTGGTAAGGCACAAAATGGCCGACTTAGGACACGTGTTTTCGGAGATAAGGTTACATTGTATGAGAAATAATAATTGCTTTATATGTGTATTGTCAGTAAAATATGATTTCCCTAATTTACATATTAATATGATTTGATGTTAAATATTGCTTTACTAGTAATTATATAAGTAGGTATTGGTTCGTTTATGCAGCATCATCAGGGACTGTATGGTATTAAGGAGGCACTACGTATGTTTTGGGTATATGTTTGATATTAAAAATGTTTGTTAAATACTATATATGTTAAATGTTCTAAGGTATGATCATTTAAATTTTGGCGGATTTCGTGCTGAGTAGGTACGCAGAGTACCGACTCATCATCTCTGAACCTCATTCTTTTTATTGTTCTTGTTGTTAATGTTGTCTATTTTTGCCGACCTGTCCCCTTCGCAAGGGAGGAGAGGGACAGGGCGGACCGTCTACACTCTGCATCTACATCAGCCAATCGAAAGAAGAAGTTTCCCCTTCAGAAGGGTTGCAGGAGCCAGATCAATTGATGCACTGCGAGACCACGAGAAGTCGCGCCGGTTCGGGGGGGGGAGGTGGAAGAAACTTTAATCCAGCAGTTGATATATCCTAGCCGCTGTTTGCTGATTATGCTGATGATGACGACGATAACGATGGCGAGGCGCTCGCACCTAGGCAAGCGGTGCTGTTGGCGTCGAGGTGAAATCCCGGTCTGCAGGCGCAGTGGAAGCTCCCAATGGTGTTCACGCAAAGCTGCTCACAGCCCTGCGTGCTATTCGCACACTCGTCCACATCTGAAAGAAAACCAACACCTAGATCACCATCACATCATTGTCATCGTCACTATCATCATCCTCATCGTCATCAACATCATCATCACCACCATCAATCACCAACGTCACCATCATCACCACCACCACCACCGTCACCACCGTCAGCATCACTATTACGAGAAAATCACAAAATCACAGTTGGTGGATCATACACCCTTTTGATGGGCGTCGCGATGCTATATACCCTGGCTTGCCAGAAGAAGGTAGTACAGCCAGTCTGGACTAATTTCTATCTGTTCCATTTGTATGGGATAGAGTGTTGCCCCCTCGCATGCATGAGGTTTCTCTAGCTCCCTCCAACATGTAAACGCTAATTAAATGGTTGAAAACATCTTAAAATGTAAAGGATTACAGAGCTCACAGTGAAATTTGGCACCGGATCACTACATTGATACTGCCTTTCCAGCATGTAATTGAACAATCAAACGTTGGGTAAGGACACATCTCACCAATCTTAATTATGGAGCTTTCGTGACTGCAGGAATTATTCTTTGGTTCTTTCGGTTAAGTCACGTCTAAAGACGTGACTTAACCGAAAGAACCAAAGAACATCTCACCAACGTTACTTTTACCAACATCGCGGAGCAATCTCATCCACGGTGTTCCACCGCACACCTTCATCAAGCTCCGTTCGGAGGATCTCCCCCTTGAGCAACAACAACATCATCATCATCATCACACCTTTTGAGCAACCCTCACTTCGCCAAGGGACCCTCACCTTCAGCGATCTTGTCGAAGACCACGTCCAGGAGTTTAAGGCTTTCTGCGAGTCTCTGCACGTGGTCGCCTTTGTAGCCAGGGGAGGAAGCATTCCCCACAGTGCCACTGCCTGTCGCTCGGAACGTCTTCTTCACATCCCCCGAGCTGTGGGCCACCTCGCAGTAGGAGGCGTTGGCGCTCTCGACCAGCCGCTGCGAATTGAGCAGCACCGAGTAGGTCTGACCGTTCACCTGCACCACCACGTCCACGCTCTCCTCCTTAGCCACCATCACCAGGCCGTCGAGGGCCATGGCCGGCCCCAGGAAGACGTAGGCTAGGCGGGTGAGCGGCTTGCGGACGTCGAACTCGATCTGGACGAAGTGGGTGCCCTTGATCTGGAACCCCGGCGGGTACGGTTCGTCCACCTGCGGGCCAGATGGCAGTGGGAGGAGGTTGTGTGGTTCAGCGGTGCTTCCCAACTAAGCAGTCAATCAGATTGCTTTTCCAGTTTTGGTTTGGGTCAATCCGAACCCAAACGCAAACCCAAAACCACACCATCCAGTTAAGGTCTTGCCTCTCGTCTTCCCTACTCCACCACAATGTTGCAGCCACTCCCTCCGCTTCACGGACCCTGGCATGCTCCTTACTCACACAGCATCCACTACTCCACCATTGGTGGCCGCTCTTTTAGCTATCGAAGTCTATTGTTCTCTATGTGAGTCTCCGGGCTTCTAGGCAGAGGTGGGACAAAGTCATTGTTATGCAAGTCCAAGTCGAGTCTGAAGTCATCAAATTCATGACTCGAGTCTGACTCGAGTCCAAGTCACATGACTCGAGTCCACACCTCAGAGGTGGGACAAAGTCATTGTTATGCAAGTCCAAGTCGAGTCTGAAGTCATCAAATTCATGACTCGAGTCTGACTCGAGTCCAAGTCACATGACTCGAGTCCACACCTCTGCTTCTAGGTAAGTACAGTACATGGACCTCTCTGTGAGCCTTTGGACCTCTATGTAATTATACAGGCCTCCATGCGAGTCTCTGGGCCTCTATGCAAGCCTCTGCCCATCTATGTGAGTCTATGTGGCTCTATGTGAGTCTATGGGCCAATATCTGAGTCTATAGATCTCTGTGTAAGTCTATGAGCTTCTATGCGAGTCTATGTACCAAGAGGACATGGGAAATCGGCTCGTATGCAGGAGCTACGACTGTATCTTGCTTTTAACTTGGTTGAGCTACACACTCTAGTCTTACAAGAGGCGTAATGTTTGATGGTCATCTGTGTGCAACCAGCCCCAACTGCGTTGGGCAGAGCAGGCAAGGACAGGTTGGCCACGCGGCAAACAGGCTGCACCAAAGCACGTTCAAATTTTCCCAGGAGGCTCGGTGGTCAAATGCCCAGCCTTATAATTTTGTCGGCAGTGGGGATCGCCTCATCACTGGTCTTCCCAGTTCTCTCAAGGCACTTGCCTGACCTGGTGAGTGATTTAACCCTTTCCCATTCCAAGGCGTCTGTAAGTTGCAGGGTTGGTGTCCCATTCACCACTGAATTACTTGGAACGCGCAAGCGGTGAGCATTAATTTTATTTAGAGAGGCATAGTGCTGCTGTTTTTAAAGACATTGTATTCACCACATAGAACTGTAGCGACACGACTGCACTTCATGATGGCTGGCGTAAAACTTTGCTACACACCCTGCCGTATGGCCTTTAACTTTCGAGTTCATTCTGATAATGTACACATATGTCATCGGAACGGAATTGGAAGAAAAACCGATTATTAATACGATGACGATGATGAAGAGACCACTCACCAGCAGGGCCCGTGGGCTTAGATTCTTATCATCCGTCCAGTAGAGCGAGTAGTCTCCGTCGGGCCTCGGGATCTTCGCTCCGTGCAGAATCCCATTCTTCTCCTGCTCAAAGCTCCAGTCGAGGTTGTGGAAGAACGACGCTACCCCAGTGACTGTGCTGTTCTGGTCGAGGTGGATGTGGTCGACGACCAAAGCCAGCTGCGGGTTGAGCAGCACGACGTCGCGCACGAGGCTGCTCAACCCCAGCCCCGCCTCATAAGTGTCCTCCGAGTTTCCACGAATGAACACCGTCCCGTTCTGCTCCGCGGCGGTCAGTACGCGGCCGTTAAAGCTGCACACGGGCGACTTGTCACACGTCACCCAATTCCAGTCGCACACCTCCACCATCTGACCGACCCAGGGAGGCTTGCAGAGCTCCCTGGCCGGCAGCGGGTTCGTTTTAAACATCGGCACGTTGCTGTGCCACGTGAACTTCGGGCCGTAGAGGCCCTCCACGATGAACGGCATGCCATTGGGCGTGAAGATGAAGGTGTTCTGATCGGGGTGCTCATGCCCAGGGTTGAAGTTTTTCCAGCCGTCCACCCACTCCGGGTAGCGCTTTTCGCGGACGATGTCGTTGACGGCTGCGCCACCAATCTTGCCGGATTTGAAGCCGACGAAGGTGGCGTTGACCTGGGCTGGCTGAGGACTCCCATAAGTGACGACTCCCCAGCTCTCAAAGTGGTGCAGCGCCGGGGTGCCGTAGTCTAGCGGTGGCGTGGGTGGCAGGGTGGCGTCGTACCTGCAAAAGAAGCGCGCAAGAGAGAGAGCGTCTCAGTGACATGACACAAGGGTTAAGAGGTCATCCGAGCCAATGGCACTGTTATAAAAAATACCTTCCCCTTTTGTTTCCACGTCTCGCTCAGTGCCAACTCACTCACTCACAAAATGTTTTGGGTTAACTCACCAAATGTACTCCAGGTGCAATGTGCACCAACGGTGAGCGCGGTAGGAAGCGCCCGTGCCGTTCTTGGGGCGGAATGTGTTGATCATGCTCGCCAGCCAATTTCCCGCTGCCGTCGCGCAGGACGTAAGTGTCCAGAAGGCCAGGTGAGCCTCGGGGCCGTAGTACCAGTTGTAGTTCGAGTCCGAGATGCCCACGGTCCTTTCGAACCCTGGGCGAGCAAAAGAGTTTCAAAGCTTCAAATTAAAAATCAAGACATGACCATGGCCAAAGCCGGTAATGCCGCCATGCCTCACTTCGCCGACGCGTTCTACCCTTTTGCCAAATCTCGCGGCTACTGCAACAAGTAAACACAATGTGACCTCCAGGATCTGCCCTCAGTCTCCCACCATCTGCTCTAAGGTCTTCCCTTTTGGTTTCTGGAATTGTGGAGACCGACCACTCCAACGTCTAAATTGGCAAATAAGCCATCCCCCATGCATGCACACGTGTCCCACACAGTGCAACCATCGTTCCCCTATAATGTCGACTATCCATATTCTATTCTAGAATTCGGCATTGCTTCTGGAAACCGCGATGGCGAGATGTTATCTACCTCGCCTATTATGCAAGGAGGTCGTGGATTCGATCCTGACCCTGACGCCTGTTGTATATTGTAGTTTGCATGCTCTCCCCGTGGTAACGTGGATTTTTCTCCGGGTCCTCCGGTATTTCCCACCACATTTAGAAACATGTGTCTCGAATATTTGGCTGTTATAAATTTCCACGTGATGATAAGCCGCTTGGGATGTTGATCTATCATTTGTGCGCCCAGGTCGCCTCTGAAAAAGAGCTATTATAGGTCAGTGGGCTTTACCTGATAAAATAAAACATATTCATTCTGTTTTACCCTGTCTTGCCACATAATCCATAGCATCCATCTCATACCGCCCCCCTCCCCTCTGTTCTTAAATAACAACTTATCTTCGAGCTCAAGAGTTAGGGTCCAGCTCTTCTATCAACACAGTAACACAAAGAGCACTTCTGAAACACAAACCCGCTTCTTATTTACCTTCAGACTCGTCTATCTGCTAAAGACAATTGGCCTTTTGATCTCATTCTTGTGATATGGTGAAGACAACATATCGATTCTGCTTCAACATGCTCCCAATAGGAATTCTTAGCTTGGCAAGTCCAATTAAGTATGCTGCCAGCGGGTCTTCAAACCAGACTGCATGCTATGGTTTGATGACAATAGCCCTTTTGTGTCGCTGGACTCTCCAGTACAATCCCAGTGGCCCTCAAACGTTGGTGTATGCCCTACTAGCATCAAATAGACCTCTAGAATTCATAAATACTCTCACCAGATATCTGGCCTTGATAATATACTGTGCAATGATCTCAATGTATATTCTACCATAGTCCTAAATGGATCTCCAGGCTGGATTAATGCTGCAGTATGAGCCATACACCTCGTTAAATCTTCCACTACTGTGATCCTGAATGCATCTCTCACACCTGGCTGGAGGCTCCTGTAGAAGAAGTCAAAGTGCTTCTTGACCCAGATGTTGTCCTCATGGCTGATGTTGAAGTGCCGCTTGGCAAAGAAGATGTGCTTGAGGAGCGATCGGGACAGGTACGAGCCGTAAGCGATGCCTTCGTTTAGTGACCCATCCGTCACCTCGTTGGTGATGAACATCGACTTCTCCATGATGGACATGGCCTGTTTAACCCACACCGCCGCTTCTCTGTGGTACCCTGCAATCCATACCAGAAGGGTGGGGGAGGGGTTTAGAGGTCTTCAGAAAGAGCTGGGACGATTGGTCGAATAATCGACTATAAACTGTGATCAACCGCTTCTTTTTTGAGGGCACCTTAAGAATAGCGGCCGTCCCAACATTCTGGCTCCCTGAAGCCAGGAAACCCCCTACAAGCCCCGCCCCCAAACGTGACGCGGCTGCTGATGCCGATGACGTCACCAAGTCCTCACCTTAATTTGCAGCCCAGAGGCACATGCGGGAGAAGATGTAATACTTGCCCCCACACAAGCTATTTGGAGTTATCTGATGACTATCGCCCAATCATGGACGTGATAGTCATTATGGTAATATATGACTTAAATAATGGAATGTCCCAGCACTAGTCTAAGGCGATTAGAGATGTTTTATGATGATCATCTTCAAAACTATCCAGTATGATGATTATCATCAGTAGTAGCGTCAGCAGCTGCAGCAGCCTTAATCTATCCGCTGCTGGATGATGGCGTGCCCAAGTCATCACCATCTCTCATGGTCTTACAATGCAATGATACATCTGGCACCTGCACACGAGCCGATTTCAATGCAGTCAACGTCCTCTCATGCGCATTCCCTCGTTTAGATGCTGCTCCATTGTTCATCTTCACCATCGGCCATCTGGCCTTCAAGCCACTGAGCATCCTGTCCTGCTCCAGCCCACATCCGTAACCTGCATTTGTTTATAATCCACATCTGCCTCTTTTTCTTTATCGATGTAAGGCACGTCATGGAGTGGCAGCCAAAGGAGATCAATTCCCCGGTGGCAGAGCAATGAAATCGGCTCACGATCAGGAGCTGGGTGGATTGTTGCATCATGAGACTGGAAGAGGTGGTGACGGCTCGCCTAAACTCTCATCCATGGCTGATGAGAACTATGATAATGACATGTTTTTGACATTACGTCCCTTACTCCCAATGAAGTAATTTGTGGGAAATTTTCGAATACGACAAATTTGTACCCTGAGACAAATATTCAGCGGCCCGCTGCTCGTTTCCAATGATTTCCGGGAATTGTTTCCCCGTACAATGAGAGTAAAGCAGACGGTGAGTAATTTCATCACGTTATCTGACACTCGCAGTATTAACCAGGGTGGTCGCCACCCTCGAACCGCAAACCTCTGCAACAAGCGGCGAACACTCTGTCACAGGGCTATCATTATCCTGATGATGGTGATGATGATGATAATTATCAAAGCCACCAGCAGCTGCAGCAGCAGAAGAGACTCACCATCATTCATGATGACAAGGCCCCCCATGAGTAAGGCTACGGTGTTGGTCGGCTGGTGGTTCTGCAGATATTGGAAACCCCATCCGCGTATGAAGGACATTCTGTACATGTACTCTGTGGATTTGACGAGAGCCACCAAGTATTGTTTTCTCCGCGTGGAGTCCAAATGTTCATACATCAGGTCGTATGCCGTGGCAAACCCAGCGAGTGAGTGTCCGATCGGCACCTCGTCTTTGGGGTACAGCGTGACGAGCCTGAAAATAGTAGGAGATCGCAAACACATAACGTCTTCCAATTACAATGTGACCTTGCAAAGGTAAATGTACATCCCTGTAATTATTTGCGCATGCCGCACTCCTGGCAGGAGCCTCCGCACGAGCGAGTCCCACTCTAACGAGTATTGGCTCACTCTACCCAAACTGGTAAAATGTTTTAGAAGAACTAGGGGTTAATTAACTGTTAACTATACAAAAATTAAGTAGACAACATGACCACTGGCCATATAACCCAGATCTTTCTTTCTGGCATCTGAAACCCGTCCCCAGATTCGTACCAAGACCGTGGGTATCTTGAGAACCTCCGAGCCATCCGTGTGCCACCTCCCAAATAACAAACAACAACAAACCAGGGCTCATAATAACCATCACCACCAGGACAACCCACACCACCAACTCACCAATTGGGCTGCGCTGCCATCCTGTCCATGTACTCGATGGTGAAGTCTCTGGCTCTAGTGTCGTTCGGGTAGAGGAAGCTGTAGAAGGCAATGGCTCCCAGGTTGTTGCCGTAGATCTCGTTCCAGATGGCGCCGAACTCGAGCGGATCCCAGGGCGGGAGGTGGTCGCCGCTCTGCTCCATCATGGTGAGCGCCGCCTCGTGCAGGCGGCTCACGATGTGCGCGTGGCTCGACGCGGCCGCCGAGGCGCGCAGCCCGGCCACGTCCCGCACGCTGAAGAACAACATGGGGTGGCGGTCGTAGCCTCCATCCTGGAACTTTCCAAACTGTGCTGGGTTGCCGTCCTCGGCCGCCAGCAAGACGGGGAGATTTGGCAGCAGCAGCAGTGGCGGCATCATCATCAGCATCATGCGCATCGCCAGTGGCAGCGGAAGCGGCATCATCATCATCATCAGGAGCGATAGAGTTGCCACCTTTTCCACTGCAGACCAAACCCGAACATATTTCTCAATCAGCACCCGGTAGATGAAAAATGTGCAGTATCAATATAACAAGCTTTACTACCCGGCTTCGACGGGGACTTGGATTCTTGTCTAGGATTAATTTCATATTCCCTCATATTTCACTGAAAAACCCTAAAAAATTGATGCTTGCAAGAAAGAAAAAAGCCGAAACAAATAAATTTAACTAAATCAGATGTTTTTCACTCAAGGAAATTCAACCTTAACCCACGTAAGGTCGGTTTAGGCAACTCGGGAAGGGAAGGAATGACGTGCATGGTGTAGTCTGGAAAGTACCCACATGGACAATTTCAAGTTTGTTGCATGTCGGAAAGTACGCTAAACATTTTGAACAGACACACATTCACACATTTCTCTTTTATATAAAATGATTTGCAAGTGGATGACGGCCTGCCCAGGTCATCGCCATCTCTCATGGTCTTACAATACCAAGTGTGGGGTGTCTGGGGTAACGTGAAGTAAGAGGGGGTGAGTGGTAATAGGGAGAATCCCCCAAACGCCCCACCATCAGGAAGGGACGTCTGGCCTTGACCGGGGGCGGGGCATGAGTTGGCCATAGTCAGGGCAGGTCGGTTGGCGTGGGGTGAGGGTGGTAGTCGATGGGGATGTGCACGATTCGTCGTTTCTTTACAGAAAGTGACGGTAAAAAATAAATCTACGCAGCACAGTGCTACATTCGTGCGTGACGTCACTGCAAAGAGCTCCCCCCCTCATTAATATTCATGCCCGCGTGGAAATTTACACTAACACAAGGTCGTACACTCCACATGCCGCACCCCTCCCCTCATTAATAATCATGAGCGGGTGACGTCACTCCATATGTCGCACCCCTCTACAATAACCATTAGCGGGTGACGTCACTGCACATGGTCAACTCCGCCCCTCATTAATAATCATGAGCTGAACAATTTTTCTATTGAATATTTCAGATTTACAGCAATATACACCCATACCTTGGAAGGGCAAAAAAGCTAGTAACAAATACAGTATTGAGGGAATTGCATAGGAGAGAAAATGTATCCGACTTCCTCATTCTCATATATAAAAAAAAAATAGCAAACCTCACACTGAGGAGATTTCCTGGACATTGCGTCAAAGGTCTGCAAATATTCACAACACGTATACGCAACATTGGTTTACTGTTTTAAATGAACATGTGCTAAAACAGGCAAACAATGTTTAACACTGGTAGGAACCTCCTGGTTATACACCAGCCCACAGGGGATTATTGTGTCCGTCCGTCCATCGTGCATCCAAAAATGGGAGAGGTGGGGCTGGGTGGAGAGGGGAGGGTGGGGAGGGGTAGGGTGGGGAGGGGAGGGTGGGGAGGGGCTGGGTGAGGAGGGTGGGGCTGGGTGGGGAGGGGCTGGTCACCCCGTGGTGCCCTTATAAAACTCAACGTTTGACCTACTCACACACACCGGCTTGTGCCCGCCCTCACAGTCGGCCATATTTGCGGAATACACCACGCCGCCGTTGACCCTGGCCATTGATCGAGCAACCCAACGTTCCTACCAGCTCCCTCCGCAGGAATGTGCTAGGCAATGCTGACGCCCCCCCCCCCTCCAAAACAACCTCAGTTGGTACCGTCCAGATTTGGTGCAGGAAACGCGTCATGCCGCCAGGTTCCATAGCACGTGCAATTGGTTGTGTCTCCGGTTAAAATGGGGTTATGGTTGTGGATGCATTGTTCGAATGTGGTTATGGTTGTGGTTATGTGGTTTAATATTGTTATCATGTGCTCATGGTTGTGGCCAGGTTTTTAGACTGTGGTTATGGTTGTGGTTATAATTTCGTTTTGGTTGTGATTATAATGTGGATATGGTTGCGGTTAGAATGTGGTCATGATTGCGGTTACATGTGCTGTGGCTATGGTTGTGATTATATTGCGGCTGTTGTGGTTATGCTACCGAGTGTCCGGCAGGACTGGAGATCTGGTCTAGGAGTTAGATGCCGACATTGCGGCCGCAGCGAAATTACTAACGGCGATGGCAGCGAATACCTGAACCGATCCTGGGCCTCTCCTAGGTCGACTCAGACTTAAATGAGCACAAGGTGGCGGCGGTGTGTATAAACAGCAGCAAACGGGGTAGCGCATGGTGCTGACCACCCAAGGGGCCGTCCACAAATGGCGTCACGCGATTTTGGACGATTTTTGACTACCTCCCCCCCCTTCGTCACACGACGTCACAAAAAGTCAGACCCCCCCTCAAATATGACGTCACAAAGCTCTACCCCCCCACCCCAAAACCATATTTCCATTTTTTTTTAAATAAAACATTCTTCAAATCGCTTTAAACTATTGTCATTGTAGTGTGTATTTAATGTGGCGCTGCACGCTGATGTTGTAGGAGAAAACATTTATTAAAAAGTCAATTTAATTAAGTAGAACGTGTTGTCTATATTTATTTAAAGTTGCGCATTTTGATGTGACGTCGCATTTCTAAATCCCCACCCCTCGTCACACATCGTCACAGATGTCTGACTCCCCCCCCGCCCCAGGTGCGTGACGTCATTTATGGACGGCCATCAACCCAACTCGTGTGCCGTGCAAGCAGCCATCCCTCGTAACTTCTGTTCGCTCACGACCCTTGTCCACCCGGCAGTCTGTTAATGGCTAAACGGGGGGGGGGGAATCTTTGTCTTTGATTGCGCAAGTGGGTGGGGTGGCTGAGTAATTGGATGCGTAATAAGGTTGGAAGAAGTGGTGTAGTAAATCAAAGGTTTGCAATGTCGGGAGCGGCACGACACTCAGGGCCCTATGGAGGCACTGATGTCGAAATTGTGTCAGCGCTGTGGCGTTCATGTGGAAGCCGTTGCGTAACGAAATCGTAACGCCTTTTTCCTCCGAATCGTCCCGGAGTTATTGTTCATAGCCGCACGGAAGTCGTGCGCCGCGGTGGGGAGATGTTAACTACCTCGCCTGGTATGCAGGAGGTTGTGGATTCGATCCCGACCCTGACGCCCAGCTGTATATTTAGAGTTTGTGTGTCTCTCTCCCCGTGGTCGCGTCGATTGTTTTCAGGGTCCTCCAATTTTAACCCACCATATTTCGAATCAATATCATGCGTTGAGAGTATTTGACTGCTATACATTTACACACGATGGCAGGCCACTTCGCCCAGCTGTAATTTGTGATAGCCAGGGCCTTACCTGGTAAAAAAAAATTTGTTCATCACGGTTGGCTACGTACGGTGTGAAAGAAGTTCAACAGTTGGGTGGACAGGCGGCGCTAACCGCTGCGCCACCGCTCCTCCTGACTCTCACACGCAGTGCACGATGCGTTACGTGCACGATGCGTCACACGCATTGCGCGTTCCGTGACACGCACGTGGCCGAAGGCAAAAAGACCCGCGCCCGTATCTAGAATTATTACCAAACGTCAATAATAGCTCTTGACAAATATTTGCTGTAAATGGTCCACACCCACATTCCTGAGCTGTTAAAATACATAAATATACGCGTAAATATACAAATATATTCACTCCAGTCAGGGTGACTCACTTCACGCCCCCGGACCGCTGGTCCTTGAGAAACGATACAAGCCGCCCAAACCAGCACGGCAAGTGAGCCCGCGATTGATGTTGGGGATAATTAGTGCGCAGCAAATTGTCCCGTCAATCACGCTGCTAGGTTTGACATTTAAAATTATAAAGTTCGATATAATTGTTCAATTGCGTAAGGAATCATTGCACAGATGACTCAACGTGTGGATCCTACGATAGCCAACTGGAGTACGCCACAAAGTGGCACACACACCCGATCTTACGCTCACCGATCTCACTCACCGATCTCGCACCCGATCTTTTCACATTGAAGTATCTCAAAGCACTGTACGTAAACATGAAACTACACGCCCAAGTATACATACCCATAATAAAGGTTTTAAAGAGCGAAACGGGAAGACGACTTCACAATCCTGGCTAATCGCCTGATCAAGCTGGTTGTAATAATCGCCGACGAAATTTCGTAGGCTCCACGTTTATTCTCCAACACGAAATCCAAACATGTATTTATACTGGAGGAATCCTATGAGCTATAAAGCTCTTTTTCACAGATGTCCAGTCGTAACTAATTGGCTAAAGTAGTGACTAATTGGCACATCTTTTTGACGTGACAACCCTTACTAATTGTGTCGGGTGGTGGCGAGTTTAACGGCATTCATATTCACACGATCTACCCAAAAAATCTCCTTCATTATCGATATTGGTCGCGAGAGCCTAAGTGTTAAACCAAGTATGTGTATCATCGAAGCGACGTAGGTTTAGTGATGTGTGTGATGTGTGTTGTGTGTGTCGCTATTGTAAACTTTTAATCACATTTGTTGGGAAAACTGTTACGTTGTTTATATAGCATTGTTTTAGTAAGCTTTAGAGGGGCTTGGTTTGGCCCGATATTTTTTTATTTAATATAGATTTATACTTAAAAATTTGATCGGTATTGTATTATGATTGTTATTGGGATCAAACATCGAAATTAGATTTTTTGCACTTTTTGTACGCAGCATGGACCGGATTTTATTGTTTATGTATGTGATGTCTAGATTTGTGTACAATTAATTGTAGGTGTATCTTGTAATTTTATTGTTTGTTGCGGTTGAACCCAAATCAAGAGCCGAATGGCTCACAGGGTAAATCCTAATAAATTAACTGAACTGATAGGAAAAATATCAAAAACCACACTCGACATGCCAATAAAATGAAGAACTATGTTAAAGCGAATAATATTTACAGATAAATCCAATGAGACAAATAAAATAGCTTTTATTTTAATCTTACGTTATGGGGAAAGCCTGATGTACGATTCGGTGAGTTTTAGGACAGTGATTTAAAAAGTGAAACAGACTCAGAATCCCGAATGGACCGAGGAAGGAGATTCCACAATCACAATGCGCCCTCCTTCACAGATTTGTCTCCTCTCCCTGCTGAGAAACCAATGTCGCTGATTAACAAAAAAATAATAGTGGACTTCCAAAAGGTCGTGTGGCTGATGGAGTGTGTTTTTAAAAACACGTTCGTTTTGTTTCAAAATATGGGAAGGAGGCGAGTGATTGTTCGATTACGGTATTTTCAAATCTCACTCCACGTGTCTCTCAAATTCTAAACTAAACTACGTTTTGTTTTACCAGGTAAGGCCCCTTTCGATTTAAAGCTTTCGTGACTGCAGGGATTCATCTTCTTGGGTTTTTCGGTAAAGTCACGTAGAAGGGAAGTAATAAAATAATAAAAATAAAACATAATAAAATATTTTATTATGTTTAATTTTTATTATTTTTATTTTATTACTTCCCTTCTACGTGACTTTACCGAAAAAACCAAGAAGAACAGGTAAGGCCTCCTGAGCGATTATATCTTGTTTTTTCAGAAGCGAACTGGCCACAAATGATAGCTCGACCAAGTGGCTGATGGTCACGTGGGGATTTACAGCAGCTGCCAAATGCCCTAAGCGCGTGATGCTGATTCCAAATGCTTGCTGCTGCTGCATAGCAGGCAAGGCAGATGACGTATCACCACCAACTCACCGATCTCAAAACTCACCCGGTGTGTCTCTGGTGATCTCAAAAACTCACCCGGTGTGTCTCTGATGATCTCAAAAACTCACCCGGTGTGTCTCTGGTGATCTCAAAAACTCACTCGGTGTGTCTCTGGCGATCTCAAAAACTCACTCGGTGTGTCTCCGGCGATCTCAAAAACTCACCCGGTGTGTCTCTGGTGATCTCAAAAACTCACTCGGTGTGTCTCTGGCGATCTCAAAAACTCACCCGGTGTGTCTCTGGCGATCTCAAAAACTCACCCGGTGTGTCTCCGGTGATCTCAAAAACTCACTCGGTGTGTCTCTGGCGATCTCAAAAACTCACTCGGTGTGTCTCCGGCGATCTCAAAAACTCACCCGGTGTGTCTCTGGTGATCTCAAAAACTCACCCGGTGTGTCTCTGATGATCTCAAAAACTCACCCGGTGTGTCTCTGGCGATCTCAAAAACTCACTCGGTGTGTCTCTGGTGATCTCAAAAACTCACCCGGTGTGTCTCCGGCGGAGCGTTGTGTCGCCTGTGAAGGAGTTGGTGAGTTCACCTCGAGCCCCTCCTCCTGCTGCTGCTGCTTCCTCGCTCGGTGAAATCGGTGCAGAGTCGATCAGCGACTCGCGCTTTTGTCCGTTCGGTGAAGGGCGTGGCGCAGGGGGCGTGGCGCAGTGGGCGGGGCGGAGCTACGATGAGAAGGAACGGCCCTGGAAGATAATGAGTCATAGAGATGCATAGAGATACGTAAAGATAGAGACCCACAAGGATACATAGACATGTATAGAGACCCATATAGACTCATAGGGTTACATAGAGACCCATAGAGATGCATGGAGACACATAGAGACGCATAAAGATACACAGAGACCCAAAGGGATACATAGATCTACATATATATTTAAAGAGACCCATAGAGACTCATAGGGTTACATAGAGACTCATAGAGATACATGGAGACACATAAAGATAGAGACCCACAAGCATACATAGAGATAAATAAAGATGTATAGAGACCCATAGAGACTCATAGGGTTACATAGAGACCCACAGAGATGTATAGAGACACATAGATACACTTAAAGAGACATAGGGACCCATGTAAATAGAGACCCACAGGGATACACAGGGATTCATAGAGACCAGTAGAGGTGCATGTACGTACATAGAGTCACCTACAGATTCGTAGAGACCTATCAATGTATACCCATGGAGATACATAACGAGTCTATACTCCTAGAGTCTATATGAATACGTTACAGGGTCGCACTCGTTACACACAAATTGCTCACGATACCTCCGCTGATCTCGTCGAGGAGCATAAACCATCATCACGCAAACTCCGGTCATCCTCGCAGGCAGCGGCTTTTGGCACCCACCGAACAGAGGCGGTCACTCCATCGCGCGTCCCTTTCAGATGCGCTTCTGCGGCCGTCTGGAACGCTCTTCCATCCAACATTAGGAAGCCACTGGAGCTACGCGCTTTCACGTCATCTACATCGAGAACTCGTTTCTTTAGAACTGTTTTTGTGTCTAGTTTTGTGTCATTCCCCCGCACATCCGATTAGCAGGGTTGGCTACGTACGGTGCGAAAGAAGTTCAATATACTAACATTACACACACTAACGTTTTAATATAGATGTAGTTCAACAAGTTTGAAGCAGCAGTGCACTGTCTCGGGACACATTGACATCGAGGTCTCCTAAACACGAACGATAATCAGAAAAAAACATGAATAATTTTTGCAATCCACGGCTGGTACATATAGATACATAGAAACCCAACAGAGACTCATAAAGTTACATAGAGATCCATAGAGACCGCGTAGTAAACCAACTGTGTTCTACGCTGCTTCAACGGAGGAGGGACAGCAACACGACACGAACTCTCTCTCTCTGCGATGAAGCCCTCTTGTCGTGGCTAGCAGCAGGACCTCGACATTGACCATCGACCGCCCGATCTCATTGCTGTTGCAATGAACTCATACAATTCATTGCTCTTGCAATGAACTCATACAATTCATTGCTGTTGCAATTAAACCATCCAACTCATTGCTGTTGCAATTAACTCATCAAATTCATTGCTGCTGCAATTAATTCATCCAAACGCATCGCTGAACTCATTTCTCCTGAACTCGTTTGCCCGCTGCCACCACATGACGTGCGACAAGAGACTGTCATTGGATTGACCCCCGGGGGGGTTGACGGACTTAGTCATGAAGGTGGTGATGATAATGGTGATTATTATTAGGCAGTTCATGTCTCCATCGGGCAAAACAGCGCGTATGTAAGTACAAAGTGGGAGGAGCTGTGGCGCAGCAGTTAGCCCCACGGCACTAGATGTACCCTTCCGCCGATGACGATTCCCGACTACGGGCCTATGCCTCCCCTCCCCCTAGGTTGACTCGGCCTGAAACGAGTATACCAACACCGCGTTGCGTAATCACCCTGAGGGCATGGCACGATGTTAGCGTTCCATCCATCCACAAAGGCAATTGATTTATTTAAAGGGCTTGGCATTTCGGGTGTGATGGCGCACTTAATATTAATTGCAATTGCCTCGTCGCTTCTGAAAATGAAGCTAATAGCTCAGTGGGCTTTACCTGGTAGAATACATTAGTTGAATTCGCGTTTGTATATTTGTCGTGATTTGCTTACCTTTTCTATACTTTGTACGCCTATCGTGTTTTTGTATTGTTGAGAATCTGGGGGGAAAAAAGTGATTTGTGGCTTATCCGATTCCTCCAGGACAAGTACTCACCACTGCCCACCATCACCCTCCTCTCCCATCCCACGACTCGCCTGCCTTGTGAATAAAAACCTCGCGGTGGTGATGATGATCGGGCGCCACGGTGGCTAGGAGATGTTAACTACCTCGCCTGGTCTGCAGGAGGTCGTGGGTTCGATCCCGACCCTGACGTCTGCTGCTGTATATTTGGAGTCTGCGTCTCTCTCTCTCATCATCATCACGGTGGCTAGGAGATGTTAACTACCTCGCCCGGTATACAGGAGGTCGTGGGTTCGATCCCGATCCCGACCCTGACGCCTGCTGCTGTATATTTGGAGTTTGCGTGTCTCTCTCTCCCGGTGACTCGCGTGTATTTTTTTCCGGGTCCTCCGGTTTTTCCTCTCCACATTTAGAATCAACGTCACGCGTTCAGGAGTATGTGGCGGCTGCTGTAAATGTCCGCACGATACGGCTCAGTGAGCCTTACCTGGTAAAATAAAAAAGAAAGTTTAATTTTAGTGATGGTCAATCAGCATGGACGCATGCTTTGACCGCAGTGCAGGCCCCTTCCGCCAGCAGTGGCCACGAGCGAGCACATTGCAGGGATGCGCCTTTACCTTGTGACTAACACACAAGGTCACGCCTGGTGATTTACCAATCGAATCGGTGGTCGATGTTGGTAATCGATTACAGGTGTTGCTGGTTGTAGTTTGACAGCCCGAGGCAGTATTAGGGGCTACAGGATTGGGTAAGTTGGGGATATTGTTGGTGTCAGTGTTTACGGGGGTTGGCGTGAGAGTGTGCGGGTTATGCTTGTGGATCAGTGTAAGGGTTTGGGGTTAAAGTAACTAGGTAATTTAGCTAGTTAAACGGGTGAAGAGTCTCGTGACAAAATTAAAACAAAACAATTATCAGCGGCCGTGAAGCGAGGAGAGGTGAGAGCAGAGAAAGACAAACAGCAATAGGTGCAAAACCAACCAGAGCAGCGGTTTGACAAGAGCGCACGGACATTAGTAAGTGCTAAACGAAGGACATTTCCAGTGAACTCAGAATTTAAATACCTTAAAAGAAAGCATTCATGGACTCGGGAGGGGTGGGTGGGTGGGTGGGGGGAGTTATTGCACAAGAATAATTATAATCAGACAAGGCAGGTACGTCAAGGGTTTACGATGAGGGTTGGTGTTGGGACTGGGGCTGTGTGTTGAACGTTACGATGTGGGTTGGGGTCGTGGCGATGATGATGATGCGTGACGGGGTAAGAGGGGTGGAGGTCGGAGTGCGTCACGCGGATCAACCCACTCACATTGTCACTCACACAGAAAAAAAAAAGACAAAGATCCCCCGTGTAGCCTTAACAGACTGTTGGGGCAAGTGCTGTTAGCGAGCACCTATGAAAGCCGACACGGCACACGAGGGGGTGGGTGGTCAGCACCACGCCCGGCCGTCTTTGTCTCCCTAAATGGCGATATTTACACACCGCACCAGGTAGTAATTCGAGGCGAAGTAGACCTAGGGGAGGCCCCATGACCGGTTCAGATAATCGTCACTGGTGTTGGCCGTGAGCGGGAATCGAACCTGGGTCGCGAGGTTCAGAGCTGCAGCGTAGTGCTAACCGCGACACCACCGCTCCCACGAATACATAAATACACACACACATACAAACAACTTACACAAATACTGTAAATACATTCACACACACATATAGCTGACACACACACACTGAGATTTGTCCCGGGTCCCGCACTCGCCTATGGACGGCCCTGCCAGGCCGCCTTTGTCTCCCTTAGTGCCGATGTTCTACACGGCCGGGTCGAGCCCAGGGGAGACTAGGGGCTGGGTGCAGGTAATCGCACCTCCGATTAGCACGGGCTGGCTACGTGCGGTGCGAAATAAGTTTCAACGTCACGTACGTACAAGGACATCGTCATCGTCACCGGCGGCGGTGGTGGGTGGTGGATGACGCAGCCGCGGAGCATGAATTCCCTCCCTGCAATGGCAGGGAAGTTGTAAACATGAACGTCTCGGCACGGTTTTTTTGATTGATTATCATCTCAGCGATCTATAATGCACATCGAATGACGATGATTGCGACAGTCAACCCCAGTGACGCGGGCATCACAGGCGCCCGCCACCGGCTACTCGTGGGTGCGTCTTATAATCCGGTTCGTGTGTCGTATGACTTTATTGACAGATTGGAGTGCGTCTTATAATCCGGTGCGTGTGTGTGTGTGAGAGAGAGACCAGATTTGTATAACTTTATTGGGCACATTTGGGTGCGTCTTATAATCCGGCACTGTGTGTGTGGCCAGATTTGTATAACTTTGAGACATTTGGGCGCGTCTTATAATCCACTACTGTGTGTGAGAACAGATTTGTATAACTTTATTGACAGCTTGGGATGCGTCTTATACTCCGATACGCGCGTGACCAGATTTGTATAACTTTATTGACAGATTGCGGTGCGTCTTATTTTCTGGTGCGACCCCGTGGTTTAAAGTGCAGTCCTCGAACCCTCATCCACTCTGATCTCTGTGGCCTCTCTGCGTGCCATCAAAAAGGGGCACTCGCCCGAAACGTCGCCTGTTATCATTACACACTTTCTATTAACTCACTCTGTCTGTTGTCGTTGTTGTAACTCAATTTTAACCAACTTCCCAATGTGGTATCGACTGCAAACTTGGTATACTTATGCACTACTGATGACAATACTATATTTTATCATAAAAAATATATGTTTTAACATTCTTTTTTATATGTTATGTTTCGCCTTGGGTCTAATTGTCCAAGCTTCTGGGCCACTTCCTGGAGTCGTGGAGATCTGCCATTACCAGTACATTTCATAAAAGCGTGTTTTTTTATAAAGTTTTTTAAAATATTA